GCGTATCAGGCCACTACTGTAGCGGTGCAAAAGTTCCATTCATAGTTATTACGCCTAGTCATATAATCTGTATAGCAGCTCGTTGGTTGAGGATTCGCAAAAGAGGGAGGGGACATTTGGCTACCGAGTCAAGTCTATTAGTTTAGATACTAGCCGTACGTAAACTACTGTAGCGGTACAAAAAGGGTCTCACACAGTTACTAGTAGCTGTTGCAGAACCAACTGGTGTTTTTTTGATTTATTGCATTCCTTTGCACAGTGTTTTCTGTGCAACCGCAGAATTCTCCATAGCTATATTTTGAGTTGAGAAAAATCTAGTACAACGACATTCTAAGAGCGCTATGTGCTGTCCGGTCCACTTCTTCTTGCTGTCGATTGTCTATCGCGACTAATAGCCGAACGCTCATAACGCGAACAAGTGTGGTGTCTGAATGGGGGGGGGGGGGGGAGAGGGGGGATATGTGTGTGAACCAGATGAGGTGTTTATCTGCATAAAACGCAGGTGCAGCAGCAGTAGCAGCACATATGTGTGCAAGCAAGATGGGGGAAAATGATCACGGGGGAAGGGGGGGGGGAAGTTGAGGGTGTGACTAACTGACTGAGTGAATGACTGCTGTGTAGCAAGCCTGGTCTGACTAGCCACCAACACCACTAACATAGCGATACACATAACACACTCAGCATCTACTCATAACTTGACAACTGCACATAATTCCCCCCGTCTCTTACCTCACCCTCCCCCCCCCCCCCCCCTCCCCCGCGCTACTGCTAGTAGCTCCCGTTCCGAACAACAGGTAGCGAGTTAGCCTTTTCTCCGTCTTTGCGCCAGCAGATCCGTGTTGTCAGCGGTTTCTTTAAACCTTGCAGCGAGAATTTTTCTGTCTGCAAAATTGCGTCTTCGTGAACAAAAGCGTTTTTGAACGAGGAGTTCGCAGCTTTAAGAGTGCAATGTAAACTCCGGCTACATGTAATCATCCATCTCGAATCGCTTTGCTCATCCACTTGTCGGCTTTCTTTGAACTTTGTGGGCGGAATTTTTTTCCTCTTGCAAAGTTTGTGTTTTTGCTGTGAAGCGCACAATTTGCTGTATTTTTGCCACTCCCTCGAAATATTATTGCTTCAACAAAATTAGAAAAAAAAATTCAAAAGCAAGGCGTAAACTATTTTTAGGATAATCAGTTTTGCTTGTTTTGCCTTTATTCATTTCTTTTGGCCGCTTTGAGTTAATTGGTTTATTAATATATAAGTAATTAATTTTAAAGAGATTCAATCGATAAATATGAAAACTATTGTAAATAAATGATTATTTTACATAGTTTTCTTAATTTCACCTTTTTGTTTATTTGTATTGTTATATATAATCAATGAGGAAGTTTTTAAAGAAATTATTAGTTGATGTAAATCATGAGTAGCTTTTGAAAACTTTTTTCAAACTTTTCACTTTAACTTCCCCTATTTTTTTGCCGGGAAAAAATAGAAGGAAAGGAAGCGTCTCATTTGTTTATTTATTTCCATCATTGATTAGTCAATGCTTTCTCAATCAAAATATATCATCCTGACATGTTCCTTCAACTTTCTATGTATACATTCCTAACCACATTGTCTGAATCATCGTTATTTTTCCTCCATCACTTTTTTATGACTTATTGAGCCGTTACACAGCTGTTGACAAAGGACATCGAGCAATTCAATCAATGAACAAAATAGAACCTTTTGCATAGTGGTGCATATACATAAATGCACTATTATTGGCTTTGTAACTAAACTTTATAAAGGACTTCAATAGCACAGTTATCGATTTTTTATTTTCGGTGCGATCGGCAACGGGTCCCCATAATTAGTATGCTAAAATCTGGAATCGAACTTTTGCAACTTAGAATAATCTTAATGTGTTTGTTTCACATATGGATTCACTTCTGACTACTAAAAATAAGCTTTATTATTACCTTTTCTACCTATAATCAAATATCACTCAATCTATGAAAAGAAGACGCGAGACCGCATTGCACAAATTGTCTAAACAAGCTTAATCGTATACCTAGCAGGTTTATATTTGTCGATCACCTCGTCCAAGTTTCTTCACTCTTTGGAAACAGGGAATAACAAACTCAAACATGTTAAGACAATGTCCGCAATGCGGTCACGCGTCTCCTAGTCATAGAATAATGATAGTGCTAATGACAACTCAGCCTTCACGTGACTACCGTCATAAATTACCGTATCTGACAAAGTAAAAGCTTAGCAGTAAGTATGTTATCATTTCAGACATTTCATCAATACTGCGCTAATGCAGAAGCATTTTGCTTCTGATCTATGCATTATCAGCGTATCCATCCATTACCACGTGTAAATACACTCATCGCATTAGTCTCCTGTTCCATCCGGAACTATCCTAAGAATCCCTGCGGAAGTAAAGATCACTCTTTTTTTTTGTCGCATTTTCACCTCTAACTTTTAACAGCTTCTAATAGTATCTTAGCGGAAAGTTGTATAGCCTTGTTTATGTTGAGGAAGTGGAAGTTCCCAAAAGTGCCGTCAAAATTCCGACAGTTTTTTTCCTGGTCTTTGCTTGTCTCGGAAATTCCGCAGAAGTTCTGCGGAAATTCCGTCAATACTCCGACAGCCTGTCTCAGATTATCTCCTTTATATTTTAGGTTTCCCTATCACTCATTGATTTTTTACAAAATCACCCAAGTAAAACTGCGGAAGTTGTGCCAGAGTCGCGGAAGTCCTGGCAATTTATCTAGAAATTCTCGCTTTACTTTTACACTTCGATCTCCATCAATTACTGAATTTATTGAGGTGGGTGAGTAGCTATTCGGCGTAAGCTCCGCGGAAGTTCTGCAAATGCTTTAGGTGAGCTCGCCGAAGTTCCGAAAGTTAATCTTTCGTAAAATTACTTTATTTGTAGATTTTTATCTCACTTGAATGAAGCAAAACGCTTTTGGGGGGGGGGGGGGCATTCTGCAAAATTTCACCAAAGTTCCGCCAAAATTCCGAAACTTACTTGTAATGACAAGTTTTTTTGTTACTCTAGCCTCTGCCAGTCTTTCAACTTTATCATGCCGCTACCTATAGGTATCGACAATAAGCTTTCTTCTCCCCATCCCCCCCCCCCACCCCTTCTCCTTTCCTCACATTCTCTAGGTATATAAATCCTGTTCATCACGCTTGCCTACACACTCATAGAGAGAGCGTATGCGGACCATTCGCACTAGAAGAACCACTCTACACACACACAGCACAGCATATTTTATGGGAGAGATTCCCGCTTCGACGAGTTCTCCACCGCATTTGTGCGCCATGACTCACGGTTTTTTGCGATGTCGTGGTTTTTGTCCGGTCGACGGCGGCCGTCGCGCCGAGCGGCGCCGCGAATCACAGATTCACCGCAAATGTGTGTGTGTAAGCTCATAAAATTTACATTTATACAACCGCCGACATCGATTTTTGTTCCGCCACTTTTGCTCATGTCGCAGGATGAGGTGTTTGACAGTTTAGAGAGTTGTTTGTTCAAATAAAATGAATTTTGTTGGTAAACTCTGAATCTATATTAATTTTGGTACCATTATTTCCAAGGATTTTCGACAAGTTCCTCATTTATTAGATTTTCCATTCTCAATTTTCAGAAAAACATTATTTCTCACTCCTAAGCGTCATTCTTTCAAGTTTTACTTCGAAAGTGTAGATAACGTGCAACGAAATAAGCTTTGCATTTTCGTTCTATCCTGTGAAGTTTTCCGAAATTGCTGGCTTACGCATATTTGGGGATTTTTTGCCACTATTTTCTTCCTAAATCCTTCTGATAACAACCTTCTGATAACAAGGCATTAACGACTTAAGATTTTTCCCGTCTCCATATTTTATCAATTTTTCAGTCTTGAATATTAATTCTCAACATGTTTTTAGCAAAAATTTGTATGAGCCATTTATAAGTCTGAGTAAGTCGATGGGGGGGGGGGGTGGTACCCTTTTGCGGTGGTACCGCAAAAGGTTCTCGCAGAATTTCCGTCGAAAACGCGCAAATCTTGTTCACTTGGAGCATTTCATAGCTAACTTTGAGAAATATTTCCCAAGTTGTTTGCGAGTGGTTTTAGCCGTTACAAAAGTGCATTTTTTCATTTTATTTCCATTTTTCTATTTCGATTTTAATATTTTAACATTTTCTCTGGAATATACACACCTCCCGTCATGTCACTTGACAATCAGCAACAATATTCATGAGATTGTGAAACCTTGCACTGACACAAACATAGGCGGGAACAAAAAGGGGGGGGGGGGGAGAAGGGTAATAAAATAACCTGTAATGTGCGAAGTGCTATTTTGTGGTTATAGTCGGTCGTCAGATTTCATGAAAAAATCTTATCACCTGAAAAGAATTTTTTGTAAGCTATAATTTCCAAATATTTCCCATTAATTCTTACAGACTTTTGTTATTTTCCATACCCTTGCTTATTTTCTATGGTACTCCGGTTTCAAAATTTTTTGAACGTATAGCAAAAATGATTTTAATTTCTCTCACAATCAGATAGAGCAAATTTGACACAATAAGTCTGTTTATGATAATTCTGCTCTCTAGGTAAACTTTCATTTTCCTTTTTTACACATTTTCGACATTTTTCCCTTTAATATTCACATATATAAAAATTTGAAGAACAGAACAAAATGTATGATTTCGAGAAGATGTTCCTCTTTCTGTTTTCCCTCTTCCAATCTTCTTCTCACATTTCGCTCTTCACTTTATCGGCTGTGAAATATACATGTGGTTATTGGCTGCACACTTATCTTCTTCGCAATGATTCTCGGCTAGAATCCCTGATAATTATGTTTCCCAGAGTTTCTTTGCATACCCTCTAATTTTCCATCTTTTTCCTTGTCCCATATGTCCCATTCATAGCCCCCGTCTCTCGCTAGAACTATGTTTCTTCGTTCCCGAAATCGAAGCCGTTGATTCATTGTCGTCGCTGCTGTGTCTCGTCCGAAAAATGTTGCGTTTTTCCAGAAAAGCTCAATTTTATTGTGTGTGACTAGGAGACGGATTTCTTGCATCCACAGACAAATTGATGACCGATGCGGGACGAGCTACGCCGGCATCAAAGCCTCGGCCAAGAGGAACCGCAAATCAAATTCAACGAGACTCCATTCGAGAGTGTGTTCGACATAGGTGATGAGTTAGGCAGGTGAGTCGTTGCGGGGAGAACTCGTCCACGCGTTGATGAATTGCTCATGAATATTCTGCTGGCGATTATTGCCGCATTTTCTGTGTTATTTGAATATTAATGCGGCAAAACTCCAGTTGACGGAAAGTTGTCACAAAAATTTCCGAAAATTTAAATTTGCAAAAAACTTTCCCGTTTCAGCGGCCAATTCGCAGTTGTCCGGAAAGTCGTGAAAAAAGCCACAGGCGAAGAGTTCGCAGCGAAGTTCATCAAAAAACGCCGATATGCTACATCGAGACGAGGCGTCACTCGAGCGAACATCGAAAGAGAGGTCCGCTTTTAGCGCCCGGTTTTCGACAAAAAAAAAGGAAAAATCTGCGCAAATTATCCGTTTAGGTCTCTGTCTTACGAACTGTTGGAGGACACAGCAATGTGATCGAATTGCACGAAGTGTATGAGACTCCTGGTGACGTCATTCTAGTCCTTGAATTGTGAGTTTATCCGGTCAATAAAGAACGATACGTAACCATTTCAAACAAAAAATAAATATTTCATCACGTTCAACACGAATCTCTCTTTTTCATTGTTTTTAATTCACACTGTCTACAGAATGAACGACTAAATAAATAGTAAATGAATACATAAGCAAATAAGAGGATAAAAAATTGTTCTCATCAAAAAATAGATGAGAAATTGTTTACCATCATTTTATCTCCTTTATCTACGTACCCTTATCTCCTTCACTTTTCTTGATGATTTTTGACAAAAGACTTCCCTTAACATTGCTGAAACGAAAAAAATTCAGTCCAAGCAAATTTGGGTGGTTCGCAACCTCAAGAAAAATCACTCGCAAAGTTCTCTCTACTATTTACAGGGCTCGGCACCAGGTGGCTTTTGAAAAATGCAAAAAACGAAGTCCTCCTTGACCCTCGCAAATTTTTACGAAGTCCTTTGACCCTAAGCCTTGAAGTCAAAAAAAACCCAGAACGAAACGTCGACTAAAAAAATCTACATTTTCTGAGTTTTTCAGCCTCAGATGTACCTCCTTTGCTTTTTATCCCAAAGACGATATCCAGCTTGCTTACAAGCCATCTGTGCTGGCCCTAACTATTTACCAGTTATAACAAGAATTGCTTTTGAAAAAGCACGTCCGTGGAATGATTGTTTCACTTCAAGGTTTTAGCCCTGATACCATCCAAGAAAATTTTTGTAGCATATTTGTGCATGGATTTCTTCTTCAAGATTTTTCCTAATAAAGTCAAATTTCTTATCTCTTTACCTCTGGGTTAAGATTTGAACTTGATGGGTCGTTTCTAGAAACGAAAAGGGAATCACAAATCACAATCGTTTCACCATGAAAGTCGTAAATCGAAATGTTTACAGAGTTTTTTTTGATTCGGCTAAGAATTCACTGTAATTGAAGTTGACTTGCAGAGTTGTTCGTTTGATCTTTGATACTTCGAAGTGAAAAAGAATACTTCAGTTTGAGCCCCTCCTATCTAGATTCACTGGCGAACCGAAGCTTTGCAAACCCAAATCTTTTTCGGAAGTGATTTTGCTTGTTGACATGTGCGAAGCACTATGATAGTCGGGGTAAGGGGTAAACAAATCGTAGAGATTCTTAACAATAGGTACGCAATATTATCTTCTCATACTCCTGGGGGCTAAAAACGACTTGTCAAACAATCCCCATCACTGAATATAACAGCTATACTACCCGATTCCCCTACCCTCCCCCCCCTTGTAGCAAAAACAAATCCATAGCAACGGACGTGTACGATCTAGTCTCATTCTCATAGTGCTGGTAACGGTTGCGCGTGCAAAAATCAGCGCGAAGCACCCGGGGTTTGAAAAAGTGGACCCCAACTGGAACCCATTGTAATGAAGTTGTCGATCCTCCAGTGTCATTGATGTTACTGCTAGTCGATAGCATTGACACTGTGACCTTCATAGCGGTGTGTGTGTGCTGTGTGGTGGAAATTCGAAGAAAAACAACTTTTCAAGGACGCAAATTATCTCGGTATCTGATAAGGGGGTTTTTGGTGATTTAGACGTCATGGACTTTTGAGGGAACGTGCCGATCAGAAAATGGAATATTCGGAATTGTATGGTTTTATCTTGAAAGAACAATCATGTGCTTCATATACACTATGCGAAAAAAAATTCTAGCTTGCTTTGACAGAGTAAGAGAATTTTTTAATTTATTTACGGGAGGAAGCTTAGCTAAATGAAGGGGGTTTCTAGTAATTCAGGCGTTATGGAGTTTTGAGGGAACATGCTAGTCACTCGAGTATTGCAAGAATTATTTTAGGGAATTATTACTGATTATCGATCTATCGATTTGTATACATAATGCGAAAACAATTTTTTATATTAAAAATCACATAGGCACTAGTAGGCAAATGGATACTACAGCTTATGATATAAAACCTGCCTTTCAAATAAAAAAATCTTTTCTCACGAAATCTGTCTTTATAAATTGTCAACCGCTGGCAAATCCGGCTTCGCCCGACCTTGTCAATAATATCTTTTTAATCAGACTTACCCCCTCTGTGCCAAGGTGAAACTCCGCAAAAATCGATATAATCGATATCGATCAATGACGAAATTTTGGTCAATCTCTATCAATCCCACCTTGTACTCTGCATTTTAACCAGACATTGAAACAGAATATTTTCTTTTACTTTGCCTATCCAGTCATTTTTTGTTGAAATGTGGGGATTTTAATTTCTGACGAAGAAAATGAAAAATGGAGAAGACATCATAAACTTGCAATGATTGTTCACAAAAAATCATGATAATTAACGAATGCTCTATGTGGAAAAAGATAATCCCCCCCCCACATGACGGTTTTTTTGCTTGGTTGCCTGTTCTTTACCTATTTCGATCCAAATAAACTTTTTTTTCCTTCGAAGCTTCCGTCCTAGTGTTGGATATTTACAAACAATCAATTTTAATCACAAAAATCCCCAGCATTGCGCACATTTACTAATCTATTTATTTAACCACTTAATTAAATAAACAGCCTGACATCAGCCCATATGGCCTGACATCTGAAAAGTTCTGAAGTTTGAAGTTTGAAAAATAAATAAAAATTATTTAGTGGTTCTCTCTTCTCTTGGATGCATGCTTTCTTATAATTACTTTTTAATTTTATTTTAACTAAATTTTTCATTTCTGTTTGGATCATTTGTATATAACGATTTTCATTACGTCTGAATTAAGTTTGATGAATATGAATTTGTTTCCTGACATTTCGTCGATATTGTTGGTAATTTTTAACAGCCTCAAAAATCATCAGCAAAGGGTCAGTTGATTTCCTCTGGACCTAAAAATAAATGATGAGGTGTTTCACACTGCCCCTCCCCCCCGTACCCCCGTTTAGCTCCCACGCGGATCTCACTGCACCCACTTGTGCGCGGTGGTTGCCTTTTTTTGCCAGTTTGCCCACAAACCACTCGGCTTCTCACCGAACGAGCACGATAATGATCTCCCACATGTGGGTTTTTAGCGGGCAACCACTTTGCATCAAATAGGGCGTGACAGCTAAAGAACTGCGCACTATCCGCAGCAGCACACACTTTCCATTACAATGATTCGCTCTCTGGAACGGGGTTAGTGTAATTACGGCAAGTGCACACTTCGCGTAAAAAAAGCTACTGTGTATGGTAATGTGGAGGTTAACAGCACAAATTCAAAGTAAATGCTGTGAGAGTACATAGTGCGTCCTTCTGTGAGGGATGACAAGAAGTGTACTAAAGGGCAAAGTTTTCGCTGTAGGACCAACCTGCGCTATGAGAGGTAGCTTGTGAGAATATTTGGTGATTATAAGTGCATCTTAATCATAACAGTTGAGCTAAAAGACAGTATTTGGAACATTTCCAAGGTCAACTTCATTGCTATTCTGATAACTGATGGTAATAGTAAGGGTAGCGGAGCAAGTTCCGTCTTCAAGCGTCGCCTCCGCGGACTACTAGTCCTCAAACCATACGTAATAGCATGTGCGAAAAGAACAGTAGTCCGCGGATGCTATTAAGTGAACCGCTCGTCTACCGCTATTGATGAAAATATCGATAGTTTTAGGTACTTTGGTATATCATATAAATGATACTAAAGATATATTATCAACAAAAATGTTAATAATAATAATATAATTTTGATAAAATAGTAATAACCAAGACTAATAATCAAATAATGAATAAATGGTTAACGAAGAAAATGCTGAAGATAAAAAACATCAGATGGATACAGAAATTTTCTGATATTTTCGTTCTATGGAAGGAAAAGTTTTGATTGATGAAAAAACATTTTTTCATGACTTTTTTTCAGAGTTTCTGGCGGTGAACTCTTCGATCATGTTTGCGCTAGAGAATGTTTGGACGAGGTGGAAGCAGCTGCTTTTGTCAAACAAATACTTTTAGGCATTAAACACTTACATAGCCTTCATATTGTACATCTAGATATCAAGGTGAGCAAATGTTTTTCTTGGCAAATACCCAGGAATTTTTCTATTCGTGCCATGTCGAAAAATCACTTTTTAGCCTGAAAATGTGATGTTAAAACGACGCGGGGATTCACAAGTAAAGCTCATCGATTTTGGCCTTTCACGCTTAATACCACCGGGTCATACTGTAAAGGATATGGTAGGCACTCCAGAGTTTGTAGGTAAGCCATCATTTGTCCCTTTTCCTACCCCCCCCCCCCCAAAAATCCAGGCCATCAAATCATTTTTTTCCAGCTCCTGAAGTGGTAAATTACGAACCACTTAGTCCCGCTACAGACATGTGGGCTCTTGGAGTGGTTACCTATATTCTGTGAGTTTTGAGAAAAGTTTTTGGATACGGTAACCAGAAGAACTGTGTGTTTGCAGATTATCGGGAGGAAGTCCATTCCTTGGAGATACACGAGACGAAACTTTCTGTAATATTACTGGTGTCAATTATCACTTTACGGATAGGTAAGCCATAGTGATTTTATTTGAAAAAAAAATCACTTTTAATATTTCATTAGAATACTCATGACTCCTTCCCTTCGTATTCTCCCAATACATATTTTGAAAAAATTTGACTACGTTTCGTGCATCACTGTAAGTTCCAAGTCCACCACATTCCCCCACCATCCCTCTCGCCCTTTTTTCCAAAATTACTATCTCAAAAAAAACCCGCATATTCTCGATGACGCGCAAAAGATCGGTCTCACTAAAATGTAGGATTGTCATTGCTTAACCACATCTTTTATTGCTCTCGTTCCATCCAAACAAAAAGTGGTTCTGCTAGATTCTTGAAAACTGCAAACCACTTTTATATCCGTGTTTGTTAGTCGTTAGAAAAGCACTTTGACGCGGCTCAATCATACCTAATGGGTCATAATCTCTGCCACTCAACTTACTGAGTGTATGTTTTTTGTTTAGAGAAAGGCTTCCTTGCAAACTGCAGTAATACTTGCTATTACGTTCTAAGAATAGAAGATTTCACTCACTTACAAAACTTGAAAACCTTGTCTATAAATCTTTCAAAAATTCCGAGTCAAAGTCAACATTCAAATTCATAGATCTATCTTCTACTAACTTCTATAAGTTTTGAATTTTTTGTCGAGTTTGCTACCATTTTTTTTGTAAGCTAGTCACAGGCAAATTTTTCTACACCGATTCAGCAGTTGCACTTTTTGTCCATATTTTGTAGCTCCATAGACCCTGGAAACTTGGTAAAGTAAGTTTTTTATGTTATTCAAGAAGGGAAACCAGAAAGATGCAATTACTGAAAATTTACACTTTTGATCCATTTTTCAACAAAGTAGAGAGATCTAATAAGACATTGATTGGCCAAATTTGCTTTTTTCATTAACAATTCAACTCAGTCCTAGAGTAAACTAGGCGATCCATCGCACGCACGGACTAGACGTAGTTGCGTCCGACAAAGATAGTTCGTGCATGAGAGAGACAGCAGACAGCAAGAGGGGTAAAAGAGCACCCGATACGCGACACGCCGACAGCGTCCGTAGTGACGCCCAGTCTTTGCGTGCTATGAACAGAATTTACAAAGTTTAGATTATGAGATCATGTATCCCAATGAGAACGAAAAATTTTGTAGTATAAGTATAAGTATAAGAAAGCACTGGGAAATTTTCAAAATGCTACTAGGAAGTCTTTTTTATGGATGAGCATTTTTAAGAAAATTTCAAAAATGTCTAAATCGACGCCTCTCATAACATTCTCTTTCTGCTCACTATAGTCAAAAATGCCAAACAGTGAAAAGACCTTCTTTTTACTCCCCCCCCCACCCTCCCATTCTCAATGTCGCCATTGTTCGGTGACAAAAGCCATTCAACACTGTGTGAGTCAGTTTCGCGTCGATTGCAGGTACTTCAAGAACACCTCAGCTTGTGCAAAAGATTTTATTTCACGTCTTTTCGTTCGAGACGTCACTCGACGAGCCACAGTGGACGATTGTCTACGACATCCGTGGATTCGAGGGGTAGGCATTTTTTAGAATAAATCTCTTTTCATGTTAGAAAAGTTATTTCTAAATTTTAGCCGGATGGAGACGACGTAGATTTGCGTAAATCATCGTGCATATCCATATCACATATTCATTCATTCAAACAACGACAACGATGGCGGGTAAGCCAGATATGCCCCCTCCCCCTCCCAATCAGCCCCTTTTTTGAGACAAAGAGCTGTTTTTTTTTCTAGCGAGCTGTCGAGCTGGTAATGGTCTGCAATCGAGTGACGCGATCGGTACGATTGGCGATCAACCAAGCGACAAAAATGCAGCGAACGATTGAGACCCGATATGATCCGGTAAGTGGGCTAATTGAGTAAATCCGGCTTGGAAGAGTATTGCAAAATTTTAAATCCGAAAATTTTACGCTACAAAAAACCACAAGAAAAAACAGTCTGCTGATCATTCCTTCTTTGCCAGTTTTTACTCTAATGCAAATTTAAAGCAAACAATTATTTGACTGATGGTTATTAGTAATACGGCAGCCAAACAAATGCTAGATCCTTACTGCGCATTACGGTGTACTACAGCAACCGCGCGCAGCGTATAGGATGCGGTGCGGCATAAGCAACGGTGCGAATTTGCTGCAGATACTTTTTCCTTACTGAGATTTCAAGAAAAAAATTGCAGAAATAAAGGTGGAGCATCATGTGCACCTGTGCACTCTTAAAATAAAAGAAGAGGAAACAAATTACCTAAATTCCATTTCGTTCCTATTTCTATAAAAAAAAATTAGGCGGGAACATGGTCTTCCCGGAACTCATCAGTAGTGAAGGAAGATCGTAAGCATGAGAGAAGAAAAAGAAAGGATTGACGAAAAATAAAAATAAACAAACCTGAATTGAAGTGTAAATTGAGTAACCATCGTAGTAGCTTGTTTCATCATGGTAGTCTCAAAGTTAGGTATCAAATCTTGAGTCTTGTCTGGCATCTGCATATTTTCGAGGTACGCTAGCATACGGTATGGGTGCAAAAGCACCTGCACAATTTAGAGCCTAAAGTACGGTATCTTTCTCCACTAAAGATTGCATATAAATAAGAGATGTTCTTGACAAAATTGGTAATTACTATTTTGACCTTTCGCATCCAAGGAAGCAGTTTCCCAGGACAAAACTGTGTGTGACTTGACTTTCCTTTCCCAGCTCGTTTCTAAGCTGGAACAATCTCCCATATACTTTAGCGGAGTACAATTGCACCAAAACTGGAATCCATTCTCACAGCGTCATTGATTTTCTATACTTTATTAGTTTTCCAGCTTTCCCACAGAACCCTCAATTTTGTATAGATTCTCTACGACAGTCAGCTACAAGGAAATAATCGAATTTGAACTTATGTCTCCAAGAGATTAGATCGTGCAGGCAAATTTGGGCATCGAAGCTTATAAGATCGGTGGCTTGGACGATTTCGAGCCATGACTAGCTTTCATAATGACTTTTGGGTCTGGCTACTTTCTCACGTAAGAATCGCATTTTGACTAGGGAGTAGAAATATTGTGAATTTTCTAGAAAGTTCCTAGTTGAGGCAGGACTTTCACTTCATTCTTTAACCCGTAGGAGAAGGAAAAAGGAAAGTGTAGGCAGTAAATTTTGATGACGTAATTGCTCTTTGTTATGTCGAAGTAAAATTTTAAAGCAAATTTCTTTTTTATTCCTGAGAGATAAAGTATTGACATTTGTTTGATCTAACCGCTAAAACCTCGTCGAAAGTTTTTTTTTCGAAAAATCACCCTCTAATGCGTCACTCTTAATAAAATATAAAGAAAAAACAATTTTATATCTGTTTATCTCCGTTTCGTCCATTTCCTTAGACGAAGTTATGAGATCTAGGCCCTCTCCGGGACTTTTCAGTAAAGAGAGAGGATCTACTTTAATTTTTAAAAGAAATTATCTTCAAAAATTTGTAAAACTCAACTTCTATACTCCGATTGTCGTCCAATTTTTCTTTTTCGTCGTAGGATCTTCTGTGTTGTAAAGTAAGAATATTGGAAATATCTGTCCATTCTCAAGTCTATAACAACTTATGTAACATCTGTTTTTCTACTTTTTCGCAGCTGTTCTGTAGTAATCGGTAAATCATTCAGAACGATATGGTTACGTCCTCGGTGCTCATTGCCGCTGAAATGGGTGGTGTACGTGAGCTGAGCGAGTTAAGCATGGTTCGCGGTTTCCCGAATCTTAGCAACAAGGTAACACTCTCTAAACTTCCTGCTTTCGTTGTCCTAGCCCTTGAAAACTTTTCTTTTTAGCAAAAAGAAACAGCAGCTCATGTTGCAGCCGGTGCAGGTCACATTGAAGCGCTGAGTTTTTTGAATATGAAAGGAGCACAGTTGTCTGCTGAAGATCAACGAGGTAAGGGACTTGGTAATAATCTAACAAATCTATTTCGTTATAATAAACAAAAACAGAATAATTTACCTAATTCCGTTTTGTTCCTACTCACTACACGAAAATTAGGCAAAGTATGCGATCTTCCTGGAACTCATCAGTACTGAAGGAAGATCGTGAACTGGTAAGTAATAAAGAAGAAAACAGAAAAGAAGGAAAATCTTAAAAACTCACATATAAATTAGATATCTGTGATGTTGTTGTTCGTGACTAATGCTCCTTAGCAATCTCAAACTTGGGTAATTGAACCTAACTTCTTATAGGATTTATTCTATGATAATTTGAGCAAAATTGGAAATTGAGCTTTGACACTTGTCCATTTAAATTGTGGAGTAATGAACAATGTTACGTTTTCCATGTCTTCTTGAGAAACAAAATGTGGAGTCATTGGAAATCGATGACATAAAAACAGAGTGTTATAAATCTGAAATAAATAAATAAATAATAATATTATAAAAATACAAGTTAATTTGAGTTCAGGCTCGGTTACGGACTTTTCCCATTTTTTATCGGGGCCCTATTATTTTCTATGTAAAGACGGCCCTTTTGCACCATTACAATAGGTTACAGTGGTACCATAGCTGCATACGGTACAGATTTATGCATTATCGCTGACTTACAAACTCTGGAATGCAGAGGATGTCGTTGAATTCTTATGATGCCAATCTTTCGCAATTAGTAGCTTACGGTAACAACCTGGAACAATACAACCGGTAGCTTACCTTTCTAACCTAGAATAATCTCCCATATTATTTAGCGAAGTACAACTGCACCAAAACTAAAATCCATTTTCACAGCATCATTGATTTTGATTTCATGTGCACTTAGACACTCTCGTCTTGCATCTGCACATCTTCGAGATACGGTAGCATACGGTATGGGTGCAAAAGGATCTGCACAGTTAAAGAATTATAAAATTAAAAACACCATAGAATAATTTCTGTAGAAAAACTGAGGTGTTATTAATATTTAAAACTCGCAAGATATCGATGACATGATAAAAATTGAAATGATGCTAAAATGTAGTAAATGGGAAACAATGAAAATCTGAAGGTGGGTTGCTTGATTTTTTGACGAGGAAAAAATTTTGCTGGGCTGATTTTCCTGTCGTTTAGACAATTTTTCGGTTTAGCAAGAGCATTTTTTAGATGTTTTTGAATCACCTTTCAATAGCGTCCATTTGTTTTCCCCCATCCCAACCCCCTCACTTTCTGCACTACCATATTTTGCAGAGAGACTAACTTCATTTAGTTGGCAGCATGACTATTTCGTGCTTCAGTGAGCCATAACTGCTCATAAAAGTATTCAATCGCACCAAATTGCCAGGCGAAAAACTGGCAGTAAATCTCGCTGATGCATGACAACTAAAGGAAACGGCCGCTCTGGAAGACTATAGCAGTGTAATTGCCCTCGGAGGAGCTGTTTTGGCAATGAGCTAGTTTAAAATGGAACTTTTGACTTTCATGTACAGTATGGTTAAAGATAGTTCATTTTGGATTCAAATTGGATTCAAAGCTCACGGACCTTAGTTGGATTGAAAAATGAGTGATATTCTGAATATTTAAAAAAAATAAGCTTAGACAAAAGCAGGCGCACAAACACAATTCTTGGCCCTTTTCTTTCCCAGACACAAAAAGCAGAATTTTACACTAACTGCTTTGTTATGGTTCCAAATAACCCTTTCGGTTTTGCTTTGGGAAGAGAGGACGCCTTTTTGTATTACTCACCACAAGAGCGCCTCTGATTGGTCAACGTCGGTTGTGATTGGACAGATTATGAACAGGGCGGATAGCCAAACGAGTTTTGCGCTCCCTGAACGTATTAGATATTTAACTATGTGTAAAAACCATTGTAAAGTAAAAATAAATCTAAAGATCTACCTGGATCACTTCTTCTCAAATCAAAAGTTACAGGTCTATCTGGATTAATTTTTAATTACAAAACTCATACACATCTCTTTTTCCCGTTCTTATGAACCCAAATTCATTTCCAACTGTTCTCGTTTCGCAATTTTGTTTACATCTGTTTGTGCTTATTATTAAACGCATTGGCGCTTACCCGGAATTGAAGAAAACCATTGCTTTTCGATTTGGAACCGTTTTTTTTTGAAAACCAATTTTCCTAATGTGAACTAAAGTGCATTTTGAATAATGGATTGTTGTTCTTACATGCTTTTAGCGGTTAGTGTTCCAGCGAATTCGAATGCAAGAAGTATGAATAGGAGCGTAGGGGAGGGGGACCAAAAATTATTGCGTGGTTATGGTTTGAAGAAACAATAAAGATAACCGTGTGACATAAGAAAATGACGAGGTCATCAAACTGTCCTACTGACCCTGAAACTTCGAGAATTTTTATAAAACCAATGAGGACTTCGCATGCATGAAATCCTTTTATATTACAGCTCTAAAAAGTGAAAAATCACAAATCAAAAACGGCAGATCACAATAGCAGTGGAATTTTAGAGTTGTATCAGACATTTTTTCAGAAAACTTTTCGAATTGTCATATGGAAATATAGATCACCAAAACTAAGCATATATTAGGAATTTTTCTGTATCAAATTTTGAAGTTGTCTTCAATTATAAGAAAAGGCCATAAGTTTGCAAACAAATCCAAAGATTCAAAAATCCTTAGAAAAAAGTACCATTTCTTTCAAAAACATCAATTTCTCAAAAAAATCATCGGTGTTTTCAATGTAATTTTTTCCTACAGTGCTACAACCGGTAAAAATAGCAACGCTGAGGAAAATTCATAAACTTTAGGAAAGCGATTTTCCTACCTATTTTCCTACCTATACCTCCATGGCAGTCATAGTATATGGAGGAAATTTTGACTGGATCTATATGACATACAAAATAGAATTTCAAAATTCGTTAATACTAGGGCTAATTATACAAAAAAACCCAATCTTTATTTTGCCCATCCGTGAATGTTCAGCCTCCAAATCCACTTGAGAGGCCTTCAAGTTTCATTTACTACGATTTTGTCCTCGATAGTGGCTCTCACCTTGAATCCCAATCTCATCGATGCTTCCATGTCTACCGGTTCTCAAGCAGCACTTAACGCACTGTCCTTTGCAGCCAATTCACGTAAACATCGTAAGAATGATGACAACTAATAATTTCGTCGATTTGAATGGGGGGGGGGAGCGGAAAAAGTTCTCCCCGGAAAATTTTGCAAGCTACCCACTCCATACATAGAATTACATGGCGTGACTGTTCGAAGTACAGAGGGTAGGGGAACGAACGCCGCCAGTTTGAGCCGCCCCTTGCGGACAACTAGTCCTTTTGCAGTGTTGTTGCATGTCGTTTTAGGACCAGCAGTCCGCAAAGTTGGATCAAACTAGGGCTTTCGTTTCCCTACGCAAGCACAGAATATTTTTTTTTCAAAGAAATATAGCTAAGCTTAACAAAGAAGTACATTTGGAAAAAGACTTGCTGTTAACTTCATACCATCTTTAATTCATAACAAAAAACATTATAATGCCTTTCAAAGACAAATTTGCCGCTTTCTGTGGCCCAAAATTTTGAAACCCTTCATAACCACTACTACTGCGTGATGTTGAGAACTTTGCTCATCTTTTTTGAGTTTCTTTTCGATTTCTGTAATTACACCACGGACACACTCAAACTTACAATCCAAAGAACCACTGATCAAACTGTAACCGCTGTAGAAGTTATACAATTGTTTGTCTACAAGTTTTTCCACAATGTCAATTATGGGAAGGTAATAGTTCTAGCTGATCAAAGCTTTCTGACAGGGGGACACATCGCTTTTTCAATTTTTCTTTTGTTTGCACTGATTCACTGGTTCGCAGACTATTTTTGACAAAAACTCGGAAACCGTTGATTGAGGAGTTCCGCTCTGCATAATAATTATCTGTTGTTCCTTTTTCTGTGTTCTTTATAGCTCAGAATACTGTAGAACGTTCATGAGTTGATTTATTTTTATAGTAGGGAACATAATGATTGGGTAGCAAAAAATTTTCTTAACGCAATTTTATTGTAATTCAGCAAAATAACATAGTGATAACGAAAATGCTTTCTCTGTGGTTGTATTTTATGAATACCAATATGTAGTTCTGCGCAATAATTCATAATTTTGATAATATTCCAGTTGAACATCTTTAAGTAGTCTTTTTGGATTTTGAAAAATGATAAAGGTGATGTTCATATTGCTCATACCCATGTTTAGCAGTCAATATTTTGTAATTTTTCCATGCTTGTATTTCTCAAATTCTTCATCTGCCACGGATTTTTTGCAAATGATCAAGCTGTGGCAAATTTTGGGAGGTGCTTTCTTGATATTTCAAAATTTTATTTCAGGTGAGAAGCCTCTACATTGGGCAGCTCGAGGAGGACATGCAAATGTGGTGGCATTGCTGGCTAATGAACGGGTTGACGTTAACGCTCTGAGCAAGGTAAATTTCCAAAAATTGTCTCAAAAACATCTAGTTGTCAAAATACAAATTTTGAAGATAAAGAATACAATTTTTCCAAAATTTTCCTTTTTCAGACCGGTGAGTCAGCCCTTCTAATCGCATCCCGATACGGTCACGTCGATGTCGTTCAAGCCCTACTGGAACGAGGAGCGAACGCTGCGATTCGGGACCAGGTTGGTAAACTTTCCCTTTCATTCCCCTCCCTTACCCTAACCACATCCCTTCCCAAAGCCAGCCTTCGAATCCAGAAGACGACCTGCCATACGTCTTCTGTCTATCAACATGCTAATTTACACCGTGACCTGACAAAGGCTCATTCCATGCATTTTCAATAACCGTTAATGCAGTTTTTATGCATTCCAATCTCGCTATCGGCAATTTGCAGCCGAAGGATTACGAATGCTCGGCAAGGGTTATTTACTGTCTGCGCATTGCAAAATGATAAATGTTAGGCTTCTGCGAGGAATAAACGGATTGCACTAAGATTTATTTTGAATCTTCGATAATCCTGTTTGGAAAATATCTCGAACATAGTGATCAAATTTTTATAATTATTCAGTACAGCTCAAACCTAGTGATCAAATTTTTATAATTATTCAGAACAGCTCAAACCTACAAATTTCGAGCTCTAAATTAATACACTCAATTTTAATTTTAATTTCATCAAGCACAGCATCGCAATTGGTTTTTTGAGAACCAATTGATGTGAAAGTTTTTGATTTTTCAACTTGACCACCCAGGTGATTTTAAGGGGAATTTTTTTGGATTATGAAGCGATCTCGATAACTCAGAGTGAGATTGACGAGTTTTGTTGTCAACCTATACTCTAAACCTTCTTGAACATTTGTAATAGCCGTTCTTCCACACTTTTTCGTTCTTCGTACATAACAATTAGCTAACTTTTTCAAAAATAGTGAAATAATGAGGAACAAAGTATAAAAGAGAGGAAAAACAGGAAATTTTTACAAATCCATACCTTCTTCCTTTTTTGACAGACTACTTGATTTTTTGAGCAGGAAAATGTTGCTGAATAGGGCGCAAGTTCATGAATCGTTTCTATTATGATTATATGATTTTATTGTTTCTATAGCAAAACAGGGAGAAATAAAGAAGAGAAACAGAAAATTCCAATTAAACCTTTTTCGTTATAGAAATCATATTCATAATAACATTGATTGAATTTATAGAATTTTTCCCTTCATTTCTCTCCGCAGAACGTTAAGAAAAAGAAAGGTGGAGAAAACATTGATTGAATTTATAGAATTTTTCCCTTCATTTCTCTCCGCAGAACGTTAAGAAAAAGAAAGGTGGAGAAAAAAGCATAGAATTCCATAAAATCAAGCTTTTTCACGAGAATCTTATTGATTTGCTAAAATTGGAAGATATTGCTCAATAGGGTTAATATTTGACTTTGAAATATTCAACATTTTTATTTACTGACTATGTTTCTTTTTATTACTTGTCTATTTATTTCCAACATTGCACGGATACCTCTGTTATATATGCTTCTTTTAATTTTTTTTTATTCATTCATATATTTGATTATGAAGGGGCACCAATATATTGAAGAAAAAAGCAAAATGTGAACAAAATCGATTACACTGATACCTTGTTTTCCTAATTTCTTGCAAATTTCTAAACCATGTGAGCGTAATTTCTTTAACTTCAACAATCTTTCCCCTCAGAATATGTTTTACACTGCATTTACGTCACTTCCTGCTCGCTTTCTCGCAGATTTCCTCGGGCTTATGATCGGTTTTCACCCCGGCCGTCACGCTGTAATCCCTGTTCAGCCGGATCAACGCCATTATAACACGGCTTTGTTAGTTTGCATTGATGTGTTAGTGCGACTGGAGATAACATGGTCTAGCTGAAAAGGAAAGTACCTTTAAAGGATTAGGGACATGTAGGGATAATGTTGTGTAGGCTTTATATAGGCTTTTAAGCTAGCTATTACGGAGTATAAGTGCCACGGGAAATGGACTAAAATGGTACAGCAGCTGGGAACCATCTGGCACGTGCTATAAAAATTGGCTTTGTTCCTATAAACCACTACGATTCTTTTTTAGAGAAGAGGGTAGGGGAGAAGAAATGTGAGCCGTCAAGTTATGTCAACATACAGCTGCCCATGTTGTAATATTTCATGCATTGAGAAGAAGAAATTTGAGACTTGGGCTACTTTTAGCACTTTTTTCAAATAGATAATTTTCGTAACTGCAAGGGAAAGATAGCCAATTCAAGCAGCATATTTTGTAAAAAATCAATTTTTAGTTGGTTGAAACTCGAGCTATTTTCACCAATTTTTTATGAAAAAACCTCACATATGCTGTAGAAAAACAGCCAAGGAGCAAACTGTATGCTAATCAGTAAATCAATAATTCAAATGCCAGTCAATAATTTGTAAATAATACATACTATTTCTGTTTTCATTCTTCCCTACGACTGTACCTTTACCCCTAACAATTCCAAAGCCACCCAAAAGGAAGCCTGCCTATGCAAAACATAGCTACTACATTTCCTCTTGTTCAAATATTTACGTTTTCCATCCACATCGATTTTTTTCTGGACGGCTCATGTTTCCGATGAGAATTTCTATGGAAACGCTAGACTACAAGTGGTTGTTCCACATACCATTCACGACTAATCTTTGCGTAGACTTTTCTGGGTGAAAAAGCTGATAGGGTGGCCTACTCGTATCGTTGTGTAGTTTCCTTCTTTGGCAAAGAAAAAGCTGTTAAAAGCGGTTAGGTCAAGTCATTAGAATCGCTAGATAGCATCGGCAAGAACCACGTCACTTTTTTTTACCGTGGCGGAAATTGGCACATCATTATGTCGACCTTGTCGATATGACATGTTTCTGTGTTTTTCCGTTTTTTCCTCGGCGTGTCAGCAAGTGCACTTGACGCCTCGTCCGCATCAGCAGCACCTCGTTGTGACTTCTGGCCTGTTCTCCCCTGGGGAGGGGGGGGGGGTGTGGAATCGATACATTCTTTGCAAAGGGAGCGAAACGACACCATCAGCAGCAGCACAACTTGCATCTCTACCGCCACCGCGGCGGCGTCACCACCGCCACGGCGACGGCGGTATCCATGGACGTCGATTATCCACTTCTGTAGAGCGCAGCCGCGAAACAGCGCCACCACAGCAGCCCCGCCTCGCATTCTCACCCCCCCCCCCCCACCCCTCGTGTGGCTCCGCCCCTCGCGCGAACCAGCCGTCTGCGTCCAGCGCCGCGATCCGCGCGTTGTCCTCGTTCGTTCCTCCCCCCCCCTAGCAGCACATAACCAATTGGAGCGTTGCCAACGCCACCACCTCCCTCCCCCCGGTGTGTGTGTATTCTCACCTGCGCTCACCTTAATTATCGATCGTCGCTACGAGGACACGATTTCATAACGTGCGCCGACAGCTTCAGTGGAGACGGCGCACCTGCAGAACTGCCTCTGTCAAAATTTACAGCTCGTATCGTAGAGCCATGGTCACGTCGGACGGTTACGCGGATGACCCGACGCCTACGGGCGTTGGGGAGCCGTCGTTGAAGGCGGCGACGATGGTGAAGAAGACGACCAGCGCTAGCAGTTCAGAAGAGGATCACAAGCAGCTGAGCGGCTTGCCAACGGCTGAGCCGTCTCCAGAATCGGATGAGCTCGACTCATCTTCAGACGAAGAAGAAGACATCGCCCGCGTCGGCTCTTTCCACACCGTCCTACCCGGCTCAGTGATGGCCGCTTACCTTACCGACCCTGTGGTAAACCCCGCAGCTCAATCGCTTTATGCTATGAATGCGGATCGAGCTCGTTCCATCTACCAGACTGAATTCGACAGTCCACGTCCTCGAGCCGCCGATCAAGTGCCGACACTTCGACAACCGCCACACCTTCTGGATGAGAAATCGCGAAATTGCAATTACTCGTCCACACCCTCGACCAGCAATTTTATCTCGCTTGTCACTGACTTCGAAGCGACTCTCGCGCATCCGTCCTGTTGTATGGTAACTATTTTCAATCTATATTTTCTTACTTTATTTCTCCTTTCTGTCAAAATTCCCATGTCCACTGAGTTTCCCATCTTTTATTGCGAAGTTTTCACATTCAACGGAACCAGTTGCGAACAATTTCCTTTTATGGTGTTTATTTTTCTCTGAGCCCAGTCTCTATAGAGACAAAGGAAATTCTATCAAAGCGAGTTTGTTTGTAATTGATTTTAGAGGAACTTGATATGTGAAAAAATGTGATTTGGGGGCTAAGCAAGTGCAAAAGTTCTTTACTTATTCCCTTAACCTGAAATTAAATTAGTAGAGGGTTTTAAAGGTCAGGTTTGTACAATAAAGCTTTTAAAGGTAGAATTGATAATGGATAAAAGGTTATGGAAATCAAAATTGCCTCAAGATTGCTTGATAAATTATTTCTATCCTTTCAGAGGTTACCGCAATCTTCGCGTATTTGGGAAATTATTTTGCTTGAAAAAACTGTCAAATTTGAATCACATGTTTTTAGAATTCGAAAAAATTGTTAGAGGGGGGGGGACTAAACAAGAACAAGAATTTTTCATTTGTACTTTCACCCCGAAATGTGGTAGGGGAGAATTCATCTCAGAATACATTTTTACCCTAGAAATAAGAGTTGATAAAGATTTGAAAAACTGATCCTTCTCAGGATGTATTTCTACTTCAGAAATTAATGTTAATAGATGGGTGCGAAGGTTGAAACTGTACATGTTTTTATTATAAAAGTTGGGTTAATTAACGTTTCTATAGGATGAACTTCCCTCAATATATTTTTATGATGTAAAAGTAGGAAACAAAGAATCAAAAAGTTAAATGGTCTTTCTCGGTCTTTTAGTGGGTCTTAGTGCATTTCTCGCGTATTTTCTGGGATTTGTTCCGCTTAAACGAATTTTGGGACCCAAAATACCTTAATCGCAGTTCACTAAAGTACAGCACCCAATCATCATTCACCAAAATCGTCTTTCCACGTCGAATTTTCGAGAAATTTCCAGCGTAGTTTTCACGGCGACAATTTGTGCATTTTCGTCCTCGTTCCATCTCGCGCAGCTGCGCGCATTCTTCGCCTTAACCATTACTAGTTTATGTACATTCGCAGTTTTCTATGATTCATTGGGCAAGTTCGAGGTCGTCGTGAGTGTCGCTCTGTTCCCAGTATTTGTATCTGCGTCTGGTCTGACAATTTCCACAACAAGGTGCAATCGCATCGCGCCACGATCGAGGTCAACGTTCGTGGCGCGATTGATCACGAATCGAATCGACGACACCCTATGAATTCGCGCGAAATCGAACTGTGAATGTTGTCATGCGATGCTTTTATGGCATATGAATGTGTTGGATTTATTGGAAGGGGGGGGGGGATGCGAGAGAGGAACGAGGCTGTGTAAGCGAGAGTTACGAAATCCGCAAACATGATGATGAAAAGGTCTGCGTGGCGCCACTTGCAGGATATGTGGATTACGGTAGCCGTGAAAAAGTGCGCGTGTAGGGTCTGTGAGTAAAGAACGACAGCTTGCACGGCTTATGCATTTGTGATATGAATCTGTTTCTAATGGAAAATGCATTGGGTTCGAATTTCCGTTGCACGAACACATTTTGTCTACAAGTTTCGGGTAACTGAAATGCTCCCTGGGGAACATAAAAATTCCCAGAACAATGAAATCGTATCGAAACCCTGTGATACAATTTTTTTTTGTAAAATGCAGCAAAGGGCATCTTTTTTGGTCGCGCTCAGCAACTCTAGTTTTTTTCCAGTCAACATGAAATTAGCTGAGAATAAGCAGAAAAAATGAAACCCGCCAGCGTTAGCAACTAGAGAAAATAGAATTTATTCTGGAAAAAAATTGCACTTTAGCATTCGTTCGGATCCTGTCACGTTTACAACTTGAATAAAAGGTACGGTAATATTCTGAACTTCAGGATAATTATTACATAGATGCTCCAATGATTCTTGTAACTCGAAAAAAATGTTCTACTCAATTTTTTAATTCTTCTTTCTATTCTACACTTATGTTTGAGGAACTTCTGTATAGTACTTAGCTATATATATTTTGAGGTTTTCTCCTAAGTATAGATTTTGAAATTTTCCTATGTTATGGAAGGGATAGTAACATACAGAATCCGTTGAATTCCGTTTCTCATGATCTCATAAATTCATTCGAAGTATAATCATACAAAAATACTTTTTCTTTTCTCTTTTAGTCTGTTTCGGACTGTTCATGACTACTCTACTTACCATTTACTTTGTATATATTTACGACTTTTTAAATATGCGATGAAAAATTTAGAAAATCGGTTTGATATAGGCAAACGTCAAACAGTAATTTTCTTTGGCACATTCCTTCACTATCTATACCAATACTTTTTATAATCCGCAAAATAGACGATTATTCCGCTCATATTGATTTCGAAAGGGCAACAGGATTACAAGAGAGATTGGTGATTTTACTATTTTTGGTTAAAAATTGATTGAGGCTTTATTTCAGCTGATTAGAAAATTAAACATTCGTATAGAACGATGTTCAATTATGCCGTCTAGGTAGGATCATTTTTAAACGAGCATACCTTCGATTTTTTGATTTCAAGCCGAAGCCGTATTTTTGTAGTTAAAATAGATAAGATAACACTTTTGTGCCTATGAAAATAAAAAACAATAAGGTTTCTTTGAATTGTACTGATATAGACTTTTGTTCGTAACTGTTACAATCCAGCACCTATTGAAAAGAGCTATGGAATGTTTGTACTTTGAGAATAAGCCGCATTAGAATGGTTGGCTCGACTTTTACAATTGAACGTTTTTTGCTTCCGTAGTATGTATACTATTGTCGGAATTTCTTGTCACGACCGCTGGATATGACCACTTTTTCAACTTCTTATAAGTAGTTATAAGCTGATGCTCTTGGAGATGTTGTTTATGTTGCTTAATGTCCATTTGGCATAAGAGATCATCAATCAACTACTATATGTACTTGTGTCCCACTTCCATATTCGGTATGAGAAAACGCTAATGAACTCGCGTCTGCCGCTTAATTGATCAAAAAACTTTTTGGGACATATTCTAACGAAAGAACTGATTCTGCAAGTTCATAAGGAAACCTTTCCGAGTATACAAGGAAAAAGTGGTCCAACTGATATTACGCATGGTGACGGCAAAAATTGGGTTCCTGATTTCAAAACTTCGGATAAGCATGACCATTCAAGAGAACTGTGCATTCTTCCTTTTCCCTTATATGGGGTCTGTCACTCTTTATTTCAAGAATTTTTGTTTATTACAGTTGAGTAAAAATTCTCCTTATGTTGCAATCCCCCAGACCATACTGCATCCCCCTCCCGCTCCCCCGCCCTCTCAAAACCGGCTACTTCACTTCAAGAAATATCAATAAACCTTCTTCAAATAAAACTCGATTGATATTCCTCAAGTTCTGGACATTATATAGAACTTTTACGAACAGGGATTTTTCCACATTTTCCTCTTGAAATTTAGCTAAATAGGCAAACTGGGAAGTCTCCGAATTCGCTTTTTTGAAATTATGTCTCGGAGAATGTCAATTCTGTCAAAATATCATTTCAAAACAACATTGCAAAGGAAGAACGGGTTGGGAAATTATGTTAATTTCCGGAGCCAAAACAATTTATCTTGCAAGTTTCCACGAATCTGTGCTGGTTCCCTTCTTGGGAATTATCAGTGTGTACTGATTGTTCATGGCAAAAAGAGTTCCTAAAATTTCCAAAGAAAAAGCATATGTCAAAATTTCGCAACTTCTCCCCTCTCTAAACAGTCGCAAAAAAAACAATAGGTAGATGTTTGCTGCGGACGTTCGGCGCCATTACGCAGCTGATACTAGCTGTAGAACGTAATTACGCAAACAATGTTCCAGCTTACGTAGCGGGAGGGGGGGGGGGAATCTCGTCGACGGGCGTTCGCATGACGTGTCATCATGTCGAATGAACGAGAACTGCGGAGTGCTAGCTGTTCTTGGCCCAACAATCGGCATCCGGTTTCCTCCGGGGCTGCGCTGCTTTCCTATAGCGGTCGGAGGCGCATGAAACATGTCAGCGCACCAGTTCGCCAAAGTAATTGCTGCGTCATTTCGATGGGGGCGAGAAGAGTGCGGGGTAGGGAGGAGGGGGGGGGGTTGAGGGGGAGAGGCATTAGAGAACGGACTGTAGCTCAAAACCTGGATCTAACTCATTTGTTTGCTGAAATTGAGTTTCTGTTGATTTTCACAATTTTGAGTTTTCGTTTTCACCCCTTTTACCCCCTTTTGGAAGACACCGTAAAACTACCGTAACCCAAGTATGTAGATTTTTTGATCTGCGTTGTGATATGATGACAAAACTACGTTTCCAGACAATATTACAATGCATTATTCGGTGTTACTTCAAAAATCGTAACCCAGGCTCACCTTATAGACGCTACGGTAACCCATGCAGTCAAGTTCCTCGATCGATATATCGATTTTCGGACTGCGCGTTTTGGCGCAATGACTTAACTGGGCAACTCTGTTTCTAGGCAACTAATATTAGGTTCCACTATAAAACACTATGATGAGGTCGCCACCTAGAAGCTACCGTAACCTAGAATAGTCAACAATGCCCAATCAATATATTGATTTTTGAAGTTCTTTGTGACAAGATGACGTGCTGTGTTTTGTGATTGTGACTCGATTATGTTTTAGAGCAACAACTCAAGTTTATGTGTACGAATGGGAATAAATAGTGAGAAAAAATTGTAAATATGAAATTAGTAAAATTTCCCCCAAGATTGTATCTTTATAATGATAATAATGATTAAATTGGATAATGGTAATGATAATTGTGATAGTGGTAGTAAATGTAATGCCCACTAACAATTTATTAGCCTTTCTGCTTGATTGAACATATGGTCAACCAGTAAATAAATAACGATAATCAATCATTCAATCAATCCGTCAATCGTTGCGGGACCACGTCACCCAAGTTATGAATCGTTACTGCAACCCTAAAAACTGAGAATCAATGATTTTCTCAAGTGTACGCATAGTGTTAACATCGCCCACGTTGTCGAAACATTTCGTACACAAACACACGGCATCTGTACGACTCTTCATAGCCGACTAAGTTGCAATTTCTATGTGCCATTTCTGCATAGACCATACGTTTCCCTCTCCCCTTGTGCTAGAGGTTGAATAGAGCGATTTGTTGTAATCCAGCTGATTGATAAGTCGATTCAGGATGAGGAGACCGCGCTGCATTGTGCTGCCGCTCGTGGACACATGGAATGCGTGCAAACACTACTCGATGGGGGATCTCCGGTGGATGAGCTCGATAGTGTAAGCATTTTGCAGAAAGTACAATAAAACAATAGTTCAAATCGAAAAAAAGGAAAATTTTTCAACAAAAAATTCATTCTTAATCTTATAAGTTGACATGACATGCTCTGAGCGAATTTTTCTATTTCGGATCGAAAGACAAAAATGTAAATTGATCAAAACTTTTTCAACAGAGTAGAAAAATGACTGGAAATAGAAGCCAATTGAAAATTAAAATCTAAACAAACCCTTTTGTTATTTTTTCTTGATTAGTTGGTTCTTATTCACTGTATAGTATGATCTTTTAATGAATTTTTGTGGAACGCCTCAAACGCTTTTATTGAAAATAGAGAATGGTATAAAAATTCGGAGTGCAAGTTCATTTTTTCTTGCATAAAAAATTTCTGGAACAAAATTTGAAACTTCTTTGGATTGAAGACAAATTCGGCTGTCTCAAAGCTTCTCAAATTATAACTACCAAGTATTTCTTGACTTTACTTGAGGTTAAAAGTTATTTCATACCCTCAAATTGTTATTACAAAAAAAATAAAAGCATAAAGTCAAATGAAATACACGGAACCAAAATAATGAAATAAATATGAAATATTGTAAAAACATCGTTCGTGTGACTGGGACTTCAGAACTTTTGATGTACTTTCTTCGTACTGCAAATCAAGCTTTAATTGGATTAAAGACAAATTAGGGCTTGAAATAGCTCGATGTATAGATATCGAGTTTTTTGCAGGAAAAGAGAAAAGTTACTAATGGGCATCAGTTTGCCCTTACCACAAAAACTACACTGACAGAAAAAAATTGCACAAGACCAATGAATAGAATTATATTGCTGTGAAGCCTAAAAGGAAAAAGTTGCACGTGACGGCTCTGCAAATTGTTGTACAAATCTCTGCACAGGTCAAAAGAAGTGAAATTGTTGCTATGGGGATGTAGGAGTGCTTCTGAGTTATTCAGCAATGCTCAAAACTTACTCTAAACTCTTATTGAAAATTTGATCGTACGCAGATTGTCAAAGGAGAATTATAGCGCGAGAACCTAGTGAAGTAGCAAAAGGAAAAAGCTGAACGCGAATTGCTTGGGGTTGTAACATCGCAGAAAAAAAAAGGCAAAAGAAAGAAGTTTAAAAATTATGTAAGTCAGCAAATTAGAAGGAAGGCAGTATCAACTATTTTCAGGTGAGAAAGAGAGTGTAAGGCCTCGGGCATACTTCACGCGATTTCAGTCGCCACACGTTCTGGCAATTTGCCCGATTTCTCCAAATCCAACACTAGCAGATTATAAATGCATGGCCAGTATGGCTCTCGTAAACTGATATAATGGCCTACTTTCTTAAATTTAAAATGCGTCCACGATGAGCTACAAACATTTGGAATGTTGCCAAATCGCGTCGCAACTCAAATCGCGTGAGGTATTGTCCGAGGCCTAATAGTGGCAATTTTTGCTTCCAAATTTTAATTGCTGTCTCGAAAATGGCTACTTTCTTGAATATTGAGTAATTCATTCTGTGAAAAAATTATGATATATGGGGTAGCTCGTTTTTCTTTCCCCTAACCATATTAGCACAAGAACCTCTTCTATACGTATTATTACATCGATTGCTGCTGTCTACGTAGACGATAGCAGATCCACATCTGAGATCAAGAAAAACCCTTTTATTGCTGGACTACCCAAACCAGTCCTGCCGGTACTTTCTTGCCTCCAGAGTATGTCAGCATGTCTGAATGTAACCAGCCCTTGGATGTCACAAGATTCAGCCAGGAGATCGGATCCAGTTCCCCTAACTAGCTCAATTTCAGCACCATCGTACGGCTCTGGTGTGTGCGCTTGAAAACGGTCACCTCGACATCGCTCTGCTTCTCATCCACAAAGGCAGCAATATCAATGAACCGGACGAGGTTTGTCCATCTGTCTGTTCGTGTCGGAGCCTTTCGGGCCGTTTTTTTTGCTGGAGATTTCAATTTACGATTATCCGAGTCGGGTTTTCAGAAAGGCAACACACCGCTCCACGTGGCGTCAAGGCTCGGCTTGCTTACAGCCGTTCAAACACTCTGTCATTGCGGCGCCGATGTCGATATGACGAATCAAGTGCGTGATTTTCGATCGAACTATCATTTGCATTCGAAGCCGGCCATTTTTATTTCCATTTTCAAGCTTTCTGTCAAGCATATGGCGTCTTTTCGCTTTAGCAGCTGTGTCGTTCACAATTTCCCTCCTCGAAACTTTTTTTTTGAAAAAATGCAGCTCTTTCTGAGTATCATCCAAAAATAAAAGGTAGACAATTTCCATAATTTCAGGCGATTTTCTGAACAAATAAAATCACTTCGACTTCTTCCAGTTACCGTTACAAAAACATCCAAAAAATTAGCAATTTTGCTGAGTGCGAGAAAAATACGCTTTGGCCCCTTTTATGTGTAAAGTAAGAAAAAACTCGCACCTTGCTTGCCATGAACTGTAAAACGAATTCGAGACCCTGAAACAATTTTTGTTACTATTTTTTTGTTGCATGATGTAACCAGCTCCTGATTGGTTTACAAAAGCAATTTTAACATCGTTCAAACTTCACCTACTTCGAAGCCAGAAAGCTTGAATTGTTTTGAGTGTAATAAATAGTGAATAAAAATAATGAATAGCATAAATTCCAAGTAATTCCGAACCATGTAGTGATGAGTGTCGCGCAGAAGCTTTCAAATTCTTGACGAACAGCTGAGACCAATGTTTTTTCTTTCTTTTTTTTGAACCCGAACAGATTTATGCGCGATTTTTTTAATCTATTTCAAACTAATCTATTACAACAAAGAATATAATCTAAATTTGAATCTGAGCAAGGAACCTTACTTCGGGGAAATTTTTTAATCGCAGAGCCCTGCTCTATTTTTATTTTTTATTCATCACCCTAGGCTCCCATTCGTCAAAAGCAATGTTTAGTTTCATTTTTTTTTATTTTCTGAGCGATTTTCAAGCTGAGTAAATGTTTCTCGTCAACCAGAAGCACACTTTCTTTTTTCCCTAAAATAATCCTGGGATATTTATCATCCACGCAAAACGTTCCATTAGGCCTATGAGCTGCTTGGAAAGTTAAACCGTTGGTTCTCAATGTCTTGATGTATAGTCCAAATAAATCCTTTTTTGAGCCATTTCCAGGATTTTTCCTTAGAAAAAAGAGGCAAAAAATGTTTTATCCAATTTTCCCAATCCGTTCGTTCAAATTTAACATTTTGAATAAGTCATTAAACTGACTGGCATGCTTACTAATTTGGCTCAAGCATTTTGTTCGTAATTTTAACGTTTAAGCTCAATCTCTCAATAGCATTTTAACAATCTTTTTTGAAATCTCAATTTAAAATATAATAATAATAATAATATAAAATATTTATCACCATCATTGATTCCCATTGTTTCACTGCTTATTTGAGACGAAATCCCAATAATGAATCATCCTTCTTGGTGAATCATCTCAGGAAATATATTTTTTTCATTTATTACACTTCTGATAACGCATCACTCCCCCCCCCCCTCCTTCCTTCCAGAAAAACATGCGCCGATTTCAGGACTCGTTTACGGCACTTCATCTAGCCGCTAAGGAAGGCTTCCTCGACATTGTTAGAGTGCTTTGCTTGGCTAGGTCGAACGTTACAAGAAAAACAAAGGTAAGCTAGTTTTGGAGTTCAGCTGCATTCTCTTAAACTCGAGGGAAAATGCGGCGGGCGAAAACGGGTACAATTAACTGATTTGTTTGTTTCCACATATAAAAAGTGCTCTCTTATCTAGGACGGTTTGACTGCTGAGATTCTTGCCTTGGCTTCTGAACATACACACGTGGCCTCGTTACTTGCCAAAATGAAATTGGTGAGTGTTTTACTTTAGGGTAGTATCCGTGAATCCGAATTTGCTAACTGATAAGAAGGCTTTAGCTAAGTTATTGCCCAAATGGCAGCTTATATGTTTCATTCTTGGCCGAGAAATTCGGCTCTAACTTCTCGCCCAATACCGTAGTCGAGGACGACGACGCTTGGGGTACAGTACTGGGCGAGAGTTGAACATCTCCGTCGCGAATGAGTCATATGAGCTGCCATTTGATCAATAGCTATAACAAGACTTCTCAATCAATTTTTATACTAGGACCTTAGCATTGATATTCGCTATTTCCCAAGAAAATTTTGAAATTTCCAGGATAACGTGCGAGAAGCCTATATTGACCAGTTATGTCCTATGAACACCCCGTTACGACGAATAAAACTGAAATTATTTGGACATTCACAAACTGGGAAATCTCGTCTGATTCAATCGTTACATTCCACACGTGGTATCACATCTAGCATTATTGGTAAGAAATTTTTTAGGCGGGGAAAATTACTTAGAATTCTTATGTTTGTTTCTTTAGATGCTGTATCGCGAAGAATCTCTGATCATTATAGCCCAAGCAATACCATGAACAAAGGTGAGTTTTTTTACAATTTTCTGTATAAAAAGTTCTACATAGCTGCATGGGAAAAATTTAATTTTTTTCCTGCTAATCCCTATAATAAGCTAACTTCCTGGAGTGGTGTGTAAACCGAAGGTAAAGTGTCTTGTGAATGAGTACCAAACGATTCGTAGATGATGGAATCCACTCCGGCCAAGGATCATCGTTCTCATCAGAATCGAACAACAACTCGTCCGATCAATGTGCACATCTCGTCCAAATCCCAGCTCATTCTGCATATACACGAGGCATTGATGTGCAAAATATCAACTGTGCAGGTACATCTCGGCTTTTTTCATACTTGGCTCCACCCTTTATTGATTTTTTTTCGTTTTCAGGGTGTGGCGAATTTTCCGTGTGGGAATTTGGTGGCTATGAGCCTTACCATATGGCTTACGATCATTTCGTGGGAAATACCGACTGCATCCATGTGGTTCTGTTCAGAGCTTGTGATAGTACCGAGGAACAATACAAGCAAGTCCTCTATTGGATGAACTTCCTCAAGGGGCGGGTCACTCCCACTGAGCCTATTGGTCAGTTGCTTCAATTTGATCTACCTCTTGCAGTATTACGGTGGACATGTTTCAGGACATTGTGGAATAATCTCAAGGCGATCAAAAGTGGTCATCGTTGGCACACATGCCAGCCCTACCCTGTTCCCTTCTAAAAATGCCGAGGGTAAATTTTGAACCTTCTGTTTTCCCATATTTTTCAGCAAAATGAATGCTTTAGGGGAATATGAGTCATCTGACACAGAAGCCATGCTAAAAACCGTCCGACTTCGGTTCGAGACCCATTTTGACATCTGTGATAAATTGCTCCTCCTCGACTCCACCAATCCATCATGCGCTGGCATGAAAGCGCTAAAGAACTATCTGAAAGAAACTAGAGCCACCATAGTTGCGGTTAGTAAACTTTACCCAACGGGGTTAACACAAGTTATCCTACCTTTCCAGAGGTTACAAAAACCCATTGGCCTTCTAGACGCTACGATGCCATTCCTACAATCGTTACGAAAACAACACGCAAATTTCCCCGTCGTTTCATGGCCCACATTTGCGTCAATCGTCCGAACTGACGTCAATCCACTCACTGGCGACGCTCACTGTAGACAGCTAATCCAACAGCTGCAGCTTATCGGCGAGGTTCGATTGCTTCAGCTACCAATTTTAGTGGCGCGGGGGTACTGTAGCTGTTTTTTAGGTTGTCTATTTGCGGGATGAAACGGCCGAGATGGATTATGTTGTGTTGAACCCGGAATGGCTCGGCACTCACATCATCGGTCAATTGCTCAGTGCAGAATTCCTTTCGAGGTGCAGGTAAGAGATTACACTTTCGATACCGATAGTAAACGAGATAGAGATTGCAAAAATTCTACAATTCAAGTTTTTTATGACCGAAAAATTTCCGTTTCTTCTCTATTTCTCCTTGGGTAAAGATAATCTTGATTAAACAGGTTTTTGAGTAAAGTACATAGAAGATAGTCACGGTAAGAAAACATGGAAAGAGACCAGCAAAAAAAGAGGAAAAGGTCCGTGGAAAACGTTCATTATGTTGGTCCCTTCATTCGGCTGCGAATGTATAACACATGGATTTTTTCAATAAAAAATCTGACAGAAAAATTCAGCCATCTACTCTCAAAATTGAGAACCTAAACAGATTTATTTTGAAAAAAAAATGTATTTTGACATCAAAAATTCAGCTATAGGAAGTAGACAACGAAAGAAGCTAAAAACTACTTGGCAGATTTAGCGGCATATCCTTTGATCATAACATGAGTATTGCAAACTGATTACCATTAACTCATTTACCCTTGGAATTATGAAATGCTTCCAAAAAAGTGTTCCTATGAAATTTACATCTCAAGAATTGATTTCTTAGTATTTATTTGAGTAGCTTTTTTGAAGGATCAACGGCACCTACTCGCTCGAGCACTTTTCGCCAATCTTTCCCGAAATACCTGAGCCAACAGATCTGTTGCGAATGTTAGACGTACTCCAGCTATGCGCTCCTGCTGAGCCCGATTCCGAAGAAACGTTCGAGTTTCCCGCCTTTATTCTCGTCAATGAACCTCACGATGTGTGGGTTAGGAACAAGTCGACATACGTCTATGGAGGTGGGTAGATTCAAAAAAGTCGTAATTACAAGTCCTGGTGGGAGTGTATGGGTAAATTTGAGGGGCGGTCATTCTAGATGACCAACTCGACGGTGATTGGCTGAATGGGGTGGTGTCTCCGCCCATTTGTGCGGCGATTGGCTGGTTGCTATGCCAAGACCGCCTCTTCATATTTATCGCCTCCTTATAAAAACAAATGCTCCCAATAATTACAGATATTGAAGCATTTTTATCAGCGCAAATTGCTTAAAAAATTTCTAATAATAGGACTTTTCTGATGGATTTCTTTCATTAATCCCTCCTCCTGTTCCCCATAATCATTTTTTGATACATATAGCTCCTACAACAATCTGTAAAGTCTTGTTTCTAGGTGTACGAGTTCATCCTATGAGAGGAATGGAACGATCGCTACAAAGCACATTCCCAAGGATTCAAGTAGCGCTGCGCAGGAGTATGCACGACTTTCAGGTGGGCAAAAGTTTGGACACTCCCAGGAGGCTTGAAAATAACAAAGGTCTCTCTCCAGGACCCAATGGATGCCGATCTCATGCAATGGGCCGGTTGCAGCAAGATGTCATCGGGTCAGATGGAGGCTCTTGTACGAATACGTGGAGATGCGGTTGAGGTAGATCTAGCGTAGTCCCCGCCCTCTTCTCAAAAAAAAAAACATGGGTGCCCTATTTTAGGTGCAAGTACGAGGTCCAGCAGAACGTGCCACATCATGCTTCTACTTTCTTGAAGACGTCGTCAATCTTGTGGAGCAAACAGCCAGCGAAGTTGCTCCCGGTATAGGTCTTGAGAGACATTTCCTCAGTCCGAAATGTCTGCAGGTAAACAACCCCAAGATTTCGTCCCATCAGCCCATTTCAAGTAAATGTCTTCAGGAACATCAGAAGAATCCAGCCTCATTCCCTCCAGAAGCGATGATGGCAATGCAACAACAAGAATCACTTTCTGTGAAAGGAACACATGATGAAGAGGAGCTTTTCACAGGTGAATATGAATTTTTCACAGCTATATTATGATTTTTTATCAGACAACAAAAAAGGGAATTTTCCTTTATGAAAGGCTTGTCAACGATAAATGAACGGAAGCTTCGTTAAGAGAAAAGCTGGTGAAGCGTTTGTCTTGAATCAGGCACAAACTGATTAAAACTCTTTAAATGTGGAGTATAGATAATGCCGCTTGCGCCACATGCATTCTGATTTTTTACTCCCATTTATGGGAGAAGTGAAATTTGTAGGTGGAGTAAATAAAAAGTAGCAATCTATTGAGTTTTATAGTGTAAAGTTGAATGGTCATTCGTAGCAAAATTTTGTTCTTTCAAAAGCTTTCTTGCGCCTGAGAAAAAACTCGGACTTCATAAAAATGTCTTGATCTGGCTCAAATTTCTATTTTTAGATGTGGTTTGCTTCGGTTCACGAGAAGTGGCTCGTCTGCTTACACTGGGAATCGACGTGGGTGTCGCCGATCTTTCGATCACCACCCGATGCGAATTGGCAGCATTGCTGGATCCTCCAGATGCAATGGGCAGAGACTGGTCTATATTGGCAGTCAAGCTCAATCTGACCGATCAGGTCCCTGAGGTAAGTCTTCATGATTCCTAAATCGGGTGTAAGCCGATTTGCACGACCGTAATGTTGCTTGGGCACTTCCGCACAGGACCCCCTTCGCGCGACATGTTGGGTACTGTCGTGCAAAATGGCCGTCTCCCCTACTCTCCTCCTCAAAATTGCATTTCTAGGTGGACTCAACAGGACAATCGCTGTCGCGGACAGATCAGCTTCTAGCCGAATGGGCCATTCAACAACCCGAGCACGCGACTGTCGGGCGGTTGTGCGAAATTCTTGCCGAATTGGGCCGATCCGACGCCAGGGATACCCTTTACCGTACCGTACCCTTGTACCTTTTTGCACCGCTAGATGATGCCGTACACCCGGCCGATTGTGGCGACTCTGGGGTCGTCTCATCGTGCCATTCTACCGGCGATCCTAGGACAAGTTCCATATCATGACGCTAGGGGTGTTTTCTCTCCTAAGTCTAGAACCAAAAAAAAAACTAACACAATTCTTCCACGGGTAGTACATACCGCTTATTTCTCTTCGTCATTCGCGTTCGCTTCTTGTTTGCTCGTCTTCCGCGCGTGCGCCGCCTCTTCTACTCATTCTCACTCTCTCTTTTTTCTTAATCGCAGTCTTTCTTCGAACTTTTTTTCTAGCTGCACCGATAGTGCACTTTTTCCTATTCCTCCCCCTTCCTTTCTCCATAGTTGTTAATTCAGTTCCAAAAATCGCTGTTCAACTAAAACCACATTAAGGGTAGAAGTGCTCCAAAGCTTCGATGGCCGCCCGCCGCCTCTATTCGCGGCGGGACCGTCGTCATCCTTCGCATTGCTCATTTTTCATTGTAGGATTGTGCGGAATCGACCATTGTCGATAATATTGCTTGAATCGAACCTATCGTGTGACCGTTAGCGGGTGTATGCATAATTCGAAGAATGAATTACATAGTTCTTTTGTAACGATTCGAGTTAGTTGCTGTGTGCGTGTGTGTCTGGCGTCGTTGAATGCCTCTGAGTCGTCTGTGTGTCTTGCGTGTTCGATCAAAAAATGTTTCAAGCATCACCAACAACCAACTGTGATACATGTATTCTTAAGAGATATATAACTTATATTGTGATATATAATACCATGCAAAAAACCCAGTCATTTCCTTCATTTTCTCGTCTCTTTTCTTTTCGTCTCTTTTTCTGTTAGTATATGCAGAGATTCAGTTACGTTGTATGTATTTACGTGATATATCAGATATATCAAAGATAAGATACGTTGTCAATATGTTGGGTCACCATAAATGATTGCTAATGAATATTTACAAAGTTGAACAAGTACTTATTTTTCCTCAGACAAAAATTCGGGAACTTGAGCGATGATTTTATCGCTGAGATCGATGGCTGGCTCGTGTTCGGAGGATTCTTCAGTTGATCCATCCATGTGGAGTGGAGTATGTAGCAATTCTTCTAGAGTTTTCGTGCTCCGTCGATGATAAGCTGTCAGCACTCTTTGCAGCGTTCGGAACCGTTGCATCTAAAAAAGAAAATTTATCAAGAGGAAAGTCCATGACATCACTCAACATCTGCCTCGAGCAGAAACGAAGAACAAAATGAAAGCCAACTGTGACAGCGATCAGCTGGACAGATGTAACCAATGATTTTGTTTAGTGCATTTTCTGAAGCTATTTATGAAAAGGATTCCAAAAAAGCTCACTTTTATTTCGAGACGTTTCATTCATTTCCGCAGCAAAAGTGCTGCAGGCTATGAGTTATACTTTTTTCAAAATCGGGTTTAAGTTTTTAAGACTAGCTTCATATGAACCAGATGATGTTCGAAAATCAAAAAAAAACTCGATTTACTGTGGTGGCGCGGTGTGCTTATATGCCACATTATTGTAAACTAGCTGGCTTACCCGGCTCCGCCGTATCCGGACCAAACTTGGCACACATACACTTCGGGCCCCGGCGGGTGTCACAGTCCACTTTTCGTTATCGATCGATGTCGATTTTACCGATTTTTATCGATTTTTTTGCAGAGTTCACCTACAGAGCTAGGAGTTGGCACAGGGGGGAAGTGAGCATGGGGATTCCGAATACAATATTAGTTTTCAGAATTATCGATTACTTTTATTGATTTTATCGATTTTTTGTAAATTTTGACATGCGAGGCTGGGATTTTGCGCAGGGGGTAATCGAGCATGCTGATTACGAACACAATATTAGTTTTCAGGATCGTCCATTACTTTTATCGATTTTATCGACTTTTTTTGTAAAGTTTGACCTGCGGGGCTGGGAGTTTGCACAGGGGGGTAATCGAGCATGCAGATTACGAATACAATATTAGTTTTCAAGATCGTCCATTACTTTTATCGATTTTACGATTTTTTGAAAATTTGAGCTAGGGGGCTGGAATTTGGCAGGGGGGTGTAATCGAGCATGCTGATCACCCCCCTTGGGGATGATCACATGCTCGATTACCCCCCTGTGCCAACTCCCAGCCCCCTAGCTCAAACTTTGCAAAAAATCGATAAAATCGATAAAAGTAATCGATAATCCCGAAAACCAACATTGTATTCGGAATCCCCATGCTCGATTACCCCCCTGTGCGAACTCCCAGCCCCGTAGCTCAAACTTTGCAAAAAAAGTCGATAAAATCGATAAAATCGATATCGATCGATAACGAAAAGTAGCCTATGACACGCTCCCTGCCCCGAAGTATATGTGTGCCAAGTTTGGTCCCGATCGGTTCAGAAATAAAAATTTCTATTCCGCACATACGTACAGACAGACATACAGACATACATACAGACAGACATTCAGCTTTATATATAAGAAGATTTCATAAGGATTTCCATAAAAATTTCGTACCTGTCTTTGAGTGTCCTCTCGCTCCTTGATCGAATTGCATAGTGTATCTAGCTGAAAAAAACAGCATCATTATGAAGCTAAACCGCAAAAATACATGAAAGTAACGATATTTCAGTAGTTTCTGACGAGGCGCCTTTAATTTGTATTTTGACAAAAATAAAATTCTTAAGATTAGTCACACAGATGAATTATGAGAACTTCAAAATAAATAGCACTCCAATACTTGTGGTGAAGTAGTTGATAAATTTGAGTTTGGTGCTGGAATCAGAAAACTGCAAATCCTTGAATCCTTAATCCTGTACTTGTCTTCGAAAATTTCGAAAATCGAGGAATTACAGCCGTAACAAAACCCCAGAATTTTTGAACACAGTGCTGCTAATTTTTAGATTTGATAATTCCCAGCACTTTAATATTGGGACTCGGATTTCAGAGAAAAACAGTTTCAATGAATCGTAGTCCCAGGATAGCTGGCAAGTCGCCAGCTCTACTCATGAGCGGAACTGGTTGACAAATTCTCTAGAAGCATCGCCAAAGAGGTGAACGAACCAGATGAATATAGATACGTTACTCAAAATACCGCTCATAATAAGTATTCCTTATCCCAGAAAGTTTACACATTTGATAGTTAGGTGCTAACACGTTCATGTTTTACAAATAGCGCAGAACTTTTGGATCTTTCTTAGGGCGGGATTTAATTCTTGATTGTCAAAGGAGTTAGTAGATCCACAGCGTTTGGACTGGAGCGACGTTAGGATTATTTTACAAATAAGTGTTTCTTCGTCTTTCCAGTAGTGATGTTTTTGTTCAGGTTCCTACGGTGTTCGCTTGAAGGATCGTCAGAATTTCAACCCATGGTTTTTATCTACCCTAACCTTTGTTATTTTTTGAATTTTCGTTCTTGACTCCAGAAAATGCAATGTAATGTGATTTTTGCATCGATAGCTAGCTTCAGATTTTCTGAAGTTATTATTTTGATGCTACCAATTTGATATTTGTTCACCCCAAAAATGACATCCTAGCTGTTTGCCGTCTGATGATCCTCTAGAACATCAGACGGCAAACAGCTAGGATGTCATTTCGAGCAGCTTTTTTTCCTCTTCATGATAGATTTTTGTCTTTTTAATTCGTGAAGGCGTGGAGGAAAACATTGCCATAATTACAATTTTTGATGAGTTCCAGGCTGCACCCGAAAATTCTAAAAATCAATATTTCGAGGCGGTAGAAACTATATGCTTGTTGCTTAATCAATTTGATGCTCCAATTTGTGAAGATCTCATAGTGTTTGAAACGTGCATTTGTCTTTGAAAATACTGAAAATCCGACCATTGATAAAAAAAACGTTTTGTGGCATTTTGTTTACTCTTCCACCTATTGTCAAAGCTTTTTCAAAAGTCCAAAACGAAAATTCAAAAAAGCTAAAGTTAGAGTTCGTAAAATGCATGAAGAAATTTTGCATAGAACCATGCTCAAAGTGGTTGTCTAACGTTATTTTGAATGAATTGAGGATAGGTCCAAAAAACTGCACGAACTTCCAAACCCACCTAATGTTTATGTTATTCCGAGAGGCAAGTGTTCAAAAAAGGAAACTATCAATACATGGAGATCCGTTTTGTTTGGAAATTTGAAATTTTGTTCTGATCGGAAGTCTTGCAAGATCGTCTAAAACAACATAAAAGTAGCATGGAGGTTGACGCAGTCAAGATTTGCGAAATAAAAACTGTTGGTAACTATCGTCAGGACTTTTTTTTATATAAAGAGCCGCAAGTATTTAGAAGCTATTCACCACTGTTTTGAGATGGTGATGTACTGCTAACGATAAGAAGCAGAGTGATCGACTTCAGTTTGGTAGACATCCATGAATGACAGAGTTTTTACAACATCAAAACTCACCGCCTCATCACTGATGCAGCTGTTTTCAGAATTAAAAATGGCATCTTCCTCTTGTAAGCAATCTTCCATTTCGTCTATAGCTTCATCCAATAAACCTAAACAGGGAACATGGAAATAGTAAATCTCCATAAAATGAAGTGGTCTTTACCTTCTTTTACAAGAACACTGATAGACAAGTTTCGCCGTATAATAGGAGGAGACATCGTTATATGTGAAAGCATTGTATGAGCTTCCCTAACTTTACCCTGCAAAAAATGCGTAAGAAGACCATTCGTAATCAAATTTATTTTCTCTTCATTATTGCAAAAAATGTTCATATCCCACATCAATGCTACGACAAAAGTCAATTGTGACATTCTTGTACATTTAATCTGACTCAAATTCGACTAGAATGATTTGCCATTGGACGTTTGTAAAACGATTAAACAAAATTCTTACTCCTCGGCGGCAAATCTACAACGAGCCTAATGCTCAAACTTCCAAGTAAAAGAGCCTCCGAAAAAAAATTATGAAAAATAACGCTCTATGGTGTCAAGTCGTTTGAATGTGAGGTAACAATTTCTCAGTATTGTTTTTCTCCTTAAAAATACTTCGGCCATATTTTGATGACAGGGAGTTCCGAGCATTTTGGAGGGACTGAACTTATTCCATTCGAAAAATATTTGGAATGTTGTCCAGAATTTATGGCAAGTTTATAATCCAAAATTATGAAGCAGGAAGACTTACACGAAAAGAAGACTTTTAGTGGCAGCCACACACGAAAATAGTCTTACTGAGTTGATTTGAATAATCAAATAAACAAAAAACATTTTCAATTATTGACAAGTGAGACCATCCAGCCCATTTTTTCAAGCTTTCACCAAGGCAGAAATGCAGCAATTGAAATATGATTGTTCGATTTAGGTAGATGCGAAACTAGTGGAAGATTTGGAAAATATTCAAAATCAAATTTTTCGATGTTGTCTTTAGACCTCACGTTCAAGGCCAACTAATGAAACATGTCTTGTTTTATCTAATGAACTACAATGACATTTCATAAAAAAATTAATTCAAAATGTTTTGAAACAATATGATATCAGAATGGCGAGAGATTTCTGCTATATTTTTTTCTTTTTGATTCCAAAAATCAGAAGCTTTCAAAAAAAACTAAAGTTTACCGCGTAGTTAGGAGCTGGCATATTCAATGGCACGGCCGATGCCAGAACGCACGCACAATACGCTCGTATTTTTTGAAAAAGCAAAGTCGCCCTTGTGACATCACCGTGTGTGGCCAGGAGGGGGAAGGGGTAGCTCATATGAACGATAATTTGTTCCAGCCGTATTCCTCGCGTAAGTCAAAACTTTCTCAACTATATTTATGCTATGATGATATAGAAAAATTCGGAAAAACACTGGAAGCTTACTGGGCCCTAATCTTCGAATTTCGACACCAATTTCGATTCACTGAAGAACGTATTGCTCCAAAAAGAGCGACTATATGCGCGGATAAACAACACCGTAGGGCTACAGTATGCTTCTTTGCAGCTATCGTTATCTTGACATTAACCTTGTGGCCATATCTCACTTCGGAGCGGACGAATTCTTAATCCAAGGGCACCATTCTCATCTCGGCGCGGCGCATCTTCTAATATATAGAAGTGATCGCGTGGACACATTAGGAGGCCACTTTCCACGCATCGTTTCAGTTTCTTGCTTATGGTAGGCTACTCCATGTGCTTACTCCGTTTCCACTGCATTCACTGGGCGAGTGGTGGTGGTTACTCCGTTTCCATTGCACTCACTGGGCGTATTTTCCTACCATAAGCAAAAAATCAGAAACGATGTGGAATCTGGCCTTCTACTGTGTTCAAACATGCACTCCTACACCAGAAGATGCGCCGAGCTGACAAAGTCAAACGGTTCCTTCGATTAAGAATTCGTTCATTCTGAAGCAAGATATGGCTAAGCTACGGTGATATCACATGAACAGGGCCATTGTGCGTCGTTTGTTCAGCAAATAAACGAGCGGTATTAGCCAGTTAGAGTACGAGTTTTATAAACATAGAAAATTTTCATTTTTCTTGACTTTCTTCCTTCTGCTCCTTGTGCTTTTTCCTTCTATATTCCTTTTGAATTTCAACATTATCTCTCCTATGGCGGCAATCTGACGCCTACAGCGCTCAAAAGCGATGAGTAAAAAAATGAAAAAAGAATTCATTACCGAAAGTTATCTTTTTATATGCGTCCTATAGTATTTGTATGATGCGACTGAAAATATCGCCTGGATGCCAGACTTACAAAAGCCATAAATTGAACTTTCATCTGTGAAGCTGGCGCTTTGCGCGCGATTGAGGATACCGATGGACTTATGTACGTTCAACGATTTGAATAAGAAGTGAAGGTAGAGAGATTGTTCGCCAAGCTAACACATCTCATGTTAGAAGGCCATGGTTACCAAAGCACTCTTGTTTAAATCTTTTCTTGTGCACTTCTGTTGTCCGAACTCATAATGCAATCTCTTCTACGGGAAGCTTTTTAATGATTTACCGCGTTTACCTGGGCAAGTCACGCTACTAACAAGGAATGAGATAGTTTACCGAATCTGAATCGTACAATCTGTATCTCTGCTAATTAGTTACTACTCAGTCGAGTCCAAAAAAATTCCTCTAATCAACAGAATGCCAAATTCAGAATAAACGACACACTCTCTTGAGGTTTTTTGCAACATGAGGTGTAAATTATCGAAACAAGCTTCTAACTCAATCTCACAAACATACAAGCTTCAAAGCGAGAGCTGTTGCGAAAGCAGCACATCTACTGGTTGCCTCGGTCTGCTCCTTCTGCTTCGTCACAATTTTCATCAGTTTTTTGAGACCACCAGGCTTTCCCTGGAACGAATTTGAGTATTATGAGAGTGGCGCTGAAACTCTCAAGCAGAACCTCTTTGTAAAACGCGGACGCAAGTTCACATTCCCGACTTTGTTGCTTGTAGCTCCTTGGAAGTTTACCGGTTACTTGCACCACTGTGTTTGTAGAGCTAGGTATGATGGAGTTCGAACTTGCCGTTCTCACACACAATGTCAGAACTTGTCGCCCAGTATGCAACATTCTAATATTCTAGATTTACTCCAAAAATAAATGTGATCATACCCGAAAAAATTCTGATGCTCGAAGCAGTGCCTTCAGTATTTACAGATGCATAACAATATTTACTGAAACAACAACAAAACAGCAGCTTCAATAATCTCCACGAGCCAATTGGCGTCTCTGCTTTCTCTTTGATTCTTTCTTAGTTCTCGGGATTTCATCCGTTGGCTTAGCAACAACATCTTCCTTCTCGGTAAGAATTACTTCTATGTGGCAGGGAGATGACATGTAAGCTGAAAGAATATGAATTAAATAGCGCAAATGACATTTGCATTGAATGAATAATTTTTTAACATTTCAAGCAGTTATCAATGAATAAGAGAAAGGCTGAATAACACTACTGAGACTAGACAAAAAGTAAAGCGGTATTCATTTCAAGATATGACCTTCGACATGGTACAAAGAAAATCCATAAATCATTTAACCACATCTCCTTGTTGTCAATGAGGTTGAGAAATGGAAGGCAACAACATACAGATACAAAGTATGATATCGAACGTTTCAATCTCCAATAACCTTTTTGTATAAAAAGCTTTCGCTTCCAATAAACATGTTGTGAATCTGATTTCAACTTAAATCAGCATTATGGAGCAATCCACCAGACGCTTTTCATCATAGTAATATTGCGGTAGGAACTCTGAAGAGGAATTTCAGCCATTTGAACGCCCCATTCCACCTCAGAAAGCAAACCATACAACTTAAAACTCGCACGTTGGGCTAATCAGAGACTCTGTTATCAAGTAGGAACTTTGCATCTCACCGCAACGGTTCGTTATGCCAAGTGGACCGCAACATATGCTTTTGCGTCTTCAAAACTGGGTTACACCATTTGAAAATTCTCATAAGCTCGTAAAAAATCAAACAATGAGATTAGCGCCAGTAGAAACCCTGGTAAACAGCTCGGACTTTCTGTGAAAATTTTTTTGAAACATGACTAATCCACAATGACGCTGTGAGCTGGTTCCCACCGTAACGATTAATTGATAGCGATTGGTTATCGCTATACTGTATATCTATAACCCAGCTCTACAATATGGTGTTCAAAGAAAGGTGGAAGCTCTAGGCAAACGTTCCAAACATTATTTTGGGACACCCCTGTATGTTATGACTCACTCATTCTTTGTGCAAAAAATGAGGAAGACCTTGACAACTCCGGCTTGCGGCAACCTATGGTCGATCCCTATTAAAATAAGCAATAAGAAGAATAATTTTAAAAGCATGACTATATCTAATATAGATCTAATCAGAGATCAGCTGTGATAAAGTTGAACTTCAAAGAAAACTAGAACCTCAATAAAAATCAATTTGAGAAAAAAGAAGAGTGTTGAAATGTTAAATTGGCACTAAACTGAAAAAAAAAGTTGAAGTAACCGGATAAATGACTTACGGTTGATACGTCCGTGAGCACGATATGTTCGTCGGCGCATCTTGGCAGCTCGCTGAACAACAATATGGTCAACAACGAGGTGATCAACATCAAGACCCTTGTATTCGGCGTTGCTCTCAGCATTCCTAAACGAGAAAGTATGAGACAGAGAAGTAGGAATAAATTATTCAGACCAAAACAGGATAGTACGTGAGCAGTTTCACAGCTCACGTACTATCCTTCACAGCTTCACAGCAAACATGAGGAGAAAATGAGCGCAGAAGAAAATGGATTTCGACTCAAGCAAGCCAAATTACGACTTAATTTGACAATGAAATACCAATAATGTAGCAGGAATCAATATGAAATGTATGCGGAGCAGCCGGCTGCCATCAGCCTTCAGACAATGACAGAATAATTAGTGAGTGTGAATCCTATCCCAAGGCTTGAATACCTTCTCTATAGGTCCGTGCATGCTACATTTGTGAAAAGGTAAAAATTGGTACTATTCCACATAAGTTGACCCAAAAAATGAAAATCGTGAATCTCGTTAAAACTTCGCTAGGGGGGTTATTTGGTACGCTGAACACGAATATGATGTTTATTTCGTGCGACAGCGCCATCCGGTGGAGTTACGGTAGGATCACGGTACGGGGTCAGAATCACGGATTAGCCCGAAATTTGGCCCAGAGGGGTTATCCGGCCCGCTGATGCCAAATATCACATTGGTTTTGAACCGTAGCGTCATTTTCTCGGGCTACGGTAGATACACGGTAACGGGCGTAAAACATAGTTCATCCCGAAACGGGTGTATGGCGATTCGGATGATCGTGAAGCTTTGCACACATGACCACCGCCGCGCGCTACACACTCTGCTGCGGCTTTTGCCTAAGCAAAGCACAGGGGAAGATACATTTGCCGATTTGTGATTTTGACCCCCACCGTAATCCTACCGTAACTCCACCAAATTTCGCTGTCGCACGAAATAAACATCATATTCGTGTTCAGCGTACCAAATAACCTCCCTAGAAAGTTTTAGCGAAATTCACGACCTTCATTTTTTGGGTCAACTATTGTGGAATAGCGTCCAAAAATTTTTGTATATGGTAGCAAGGTTATCACCAACTGATAGCTTTCAACTAGCACGGGCAAGAAACATCCTAGCTTAATTCGCACCAATTTGAAATTGTTCAAGTAGATGCATTCACCTTCTACAGATCAGGTGCCCAACAAAACAGCAGAGTTACTGTCGAGGATTGATTTGCATTTTGAGAATGCTCAAAGAAAAAGAACCAAATTTTTTGGAAAAATTCATCAAGGGATGCGTCTATGCCTATTCAAGAAGCAGTTCCATATGAACATGAGAATGCTTTACCTAGCTACAGAGTAAATACAAATGAAAATAAAGGATTGAAAAAAAACATTACTGCTGCTCTAAATATGCATTAACGATAACTTTCCCTATCTATATGCAACAAAAATGTATTTCCTAGACCCAAGAGCTTGTGAAGATAGCAGATACGTTAGGACGACTATATAACAGATAAAACAAAAGTAAAATGATCGCTGTTTTGTGCGACCAAAATATAAAAGCAATGCAGGGAGAAAGAAAAACACTGCATGGAAAACTTACTTGAGCAGATCCAAAAGGAACTCTGCAGATTTCTTTGGCCAACGTCCTTGGGTGGTATTCCACTGCTTGCATTGAGCCTTGCGTCCTACACCGCCATTGTAGCGCAGGAAGGGAACGATTTCCTTCTGCTCTTTCACATTTTCCAGGTAACGCTGAGCACGTCTCAGCGGCATTCCGCGCAGAGCCATCGCTGCCTCGTGAGTATTCTTGAAGTGAACACGGAGATCTGACCCGCGGGCCTTGCACGACTTCGTGCTGTTATCGGGGTTCTTTGTATAGTGGATCTTCGTCATGGCACCCGATGAGGATTACCTTAATAAGCAATATCCCGAATCTAAAGATGAAAAATATAGTAAAAACAACGAGAAGGAGAACATGTGATCAGTATGGGAGATGCTCAGCAGGGAACGGTCAGAATCAACATAACCAAACCAAACACGCTGTATATCCCGGACTCGTCTTGAAACCTGATCACAAACATATGTTTATTATTTGCGAAGCGACTAACTGGGAGGAATTACAGGCGTTTGAATGCGCAATTTGTCAAGTGTTCTGTGGCACATGTTCCACGAAATAGATTTCAAAACACTTAGGTTTTTGGTGTATACACTCTTTCCTTGTAGAATAACCATAGCCATTGTAAATTTACGCCATCAGGCTGCTTCCGAGGAAATATATTCGTCGAAATTTGAAAAATTTCTCGTATTTGAACGCGCATAACTCCTTCCAGATAGTCGCTTGGCAGATAAAAAACATATATTTGAAATCAGCGTTCTAAGACGAGTCCGATAATACAGAGCTTGTTTGGAATGGCTGGGTCAATTCTGACCATTTCCTCGTCAGCAGTCGCGCCAAAGAAACAGCAAGCTGTCACCAGTGTGCTAACGCAAAGAAAGACCTTCTGAGCAATAACTACAAAAAGATTCACAGTTATAGAAGTGCAAAAAACAAAGTGCACACGTCCTCTGAAATTTTTTTCGTAGCAGAAAACTGGGATAGGTCAAACAAGGACCTAAAGATACTTGAATGACATTGCAAACAGATAAACATGCAAATCTGTGATCCCGACCTTCAAAAGACAAGTAGACGTGACAAAAGCAGCAGCAGAGCACCTATCGTTCCGATGAATATGACAATCACCATTAAAACAGACATTAAAAACCTTAAATCCTTCAAACATTGCAAGAAATGCTAGGTGTGGCCTAAAATGCTGCTGAAAACAAAATTGCTTTTTATTAAAGGACAAGCGTCGTGGTCTCAGCACGAAACTGGCTACCATTCGTTTTTGGCAATTTGCCACTTCTCACTTCGATCGATGAGTCTTTTGTAGCAAAAGGTTTTCTGGTTTTGACTGTGTAGTTTTGAGCTTTTTGCGGATGAAATGCTAGAATGACATGCTTACGATTTTTAAAAGGAAGTAATAACTGCTAGGAGTTCCTATTTGTTCGGAGCTGTGGTTTTTACTGTATTATAGGTTTTTGTGAGAGTAGCATTGTTGTTTGGACATTTCATCGTTGAGCATCGATAATCATATAAGAATCACAACCTCAAGCTTTCTTCCTTGGTTTAAGGTTTGTTTGCCTATCAATAGACTTCGGCCTCAAAAGACATGTTGACTCTCTTTTTCGTCAATAATGTCTGCGAAGAGCTCAACCATCAGCTAAAATCAAGATCATTTGGTATTTCAGGATGATCAAGGCGATACTGGTGATAAATAATCATGGTAAACCACGGCTGCTCAAATTTTACCAGTATTATACAGAGGAGATGCAGCAGCAGATAGTTCGAGAGACTTTCCAACTGGTTTCAAAGCGGGACGACAACGTTTGCAATTTCCTTGAGGGAGGCACTCTGATTGATGGAAATGATTATCGTCTTATTTATCGCCATTATGCGACTCTATACTTCATCTTCTGCGTGGATTCATCGGAGAGCGAGCTGGGTATCTTAGACCTCATCCAAGTTTTTGTCGAAACTCTGGACAGATGCTTCGAAAACGTATGCGAATTGGATCTGATTTTCCACGTAGACAAAGTGCATCATATTCTTGGCGAGATTGTAATGGGAGGAATGGTGTTGGAAACAAATATGAACGAAATTCTACTGCGTATACAAGAACAAGAAAAACTACAAAAGGCTGAGGCCGGAATAGCGGCTGCTCCAGCTCGAGCAGTTTCGGCTGTGAAGAGCATCAATCTTTCGCAACAGCTCAAGGACATCAAACTACCTGATTTGCCTTCGCTTTCTCATTTGAAGAATGCTTTTTGATTGATATAATTTTCACCTACTGTTGATCTCATTGGAATGTCTAATTTGCAAAATTGTATTGCTCTTCTTTTCGCATCGTGTAATGCCGTCATTTGTGATAACTATATGTGCATATTGGGTGTGGAAATAAAAACAAAAAAAAATTCCAGAAAGTGAATGGAACTTTGGAAAAAATGACCGCACCATTCAATCCAGGCCCCAGTGGTCTGGGAACGTTTGAGCCTCTTGGATCACCAAGGTCGGGTGAGTGAGATTTTAAGCCTAAGTTCTATTTTTATATATTCTTTTCATATCATTCATCTTTATTTATTGACTATTTTGATTTGAGTCTTTTAGAAAGAAATTTCGGTGGTTTTTCTCCACTTGTGCACTCTGGCCGCTATTCTCAACCAGACTTGCGCTACTGGGATCCTGGTGTCCCTTTCTTCGTGGAAACAACTCCCTTTTCGAGCGTAAGACTTTCTCCAGTCATTTTATATCACAATTTAGTACTTTTGAATATTGTTGTTTTTCTCTTATACATGTTCTGTGGTATTATGATATGTCGAACCTAAACTTGTGGACTTTTACCATGGTAGTTTTGGAAGTGTCTTTTGCAAGACATCTTAGAGTGCCTTCATACCGCGCCGGCACCCGCCGCTGGCAGCTCGTAACAGCCGCCAGTAGCCCGTAGCAACCGCCAGCAGCCGCTAGCAGCCCGTAGCAGCCGCCAGCAGCCCGTAGCCCGTAGCCGCCGCTGGCCGCTTTCGTTAAATGAACAAAATCATCAGAATCTTATTACTTTGAGTGCTCCTGTCTACCCTTTTCATCTTCTACGCTTTTCTTTTGTTGCCGCTAGTACGCAGTTTGACCACATATCATATATGTGCCCATTGTTGTCATTACCTTCTCGCCGTATGGTCATCCTGTTGAACCATAGTTGATAGAAGGTTCTTTCCGGTGTAATTCGTCTGACTTTGGATGCGTCCAGTTCCAGCAGGTGTGCAATTTGTTTTTTGAGTATGCTTTTGCTTCAATTTTTTCTTGGCTATCGGTGCATATGTAACTTGCATTCTACTGTTTCGCAAGCTCGCCGGGATTCATTTGCGGGTTGAGTTTTTCTTGCTTTGATAATCGCTTACATCTTTTCAAATAAGACAGATTGCAAAGGAATGTGGCGCGATAGGATACAATGTGCGGAACAGAACAATGAACACAAATGAATTGGGGAGATGAACTGCATATTAGCGATAATAAGAAGAAAGCTAAGAAGATGAAAAGCGTAGGCAGCAGCACTTAAAGTAGTGAGATTTTGACGGTTTTGCTCCTATAACAAAGGCGGCCAGGCTATGGGCTGCCACGGGCTGCTACGGGCTGCTGGCGGCTGCTGCGGGCTGCTGGCGGCTGCTACGGGCTGCTAGCGGCGGCTGCCGGCGCGGTATGAAGGCACCCTTAATATCAGTCTTTTCTTTATCGTTCTCTCCACTTTTCTTGTTTAGTTCATCGATCAAGGTGGTGGATTTGACGACATAACTCAACAATGCGAGGTTACAGAAGTAGGGTTAAGCAATCCCGTCATCGGTCAAGGTATGCTTTTGCATTGTCTCTGGCATATCTATTGTTCTTTATTTGCAGAAATCCAGTACACACCCATGGAGAATGCCGCATATGTCGCTGAGCCGGCAACGTTTCAGCAACCGACAGTGGCCCCACCTCCTCAACCGATTTCACAGCCGTTAGTAGTGCTGCCAGAGGCTCCTGCAGATGACCTTGCGAGGCAACAGAACGAAATTGCGCAGCAAGATGTCCATTTATTTGTAAGTCGGTCTCTATAGAAATAATGAGTTTTGGCACGACGAGAGAAGAAAATCTTTTGTTTTGTCGGTGCTTTTTTGCGTCTGAACATTTCGGTTGCGGAGCTAAAGTCATATAAATCAAAGGCAGCGTCCAGGCAAATCTAGACTATGGGGCTTTCACGTGAATAGTAATTTTGGGACCCTAACTAAGCCACTGCCCTACTGGCAGCTCATTTAGTGCACAAAGTGTTGAGATATTCGCCTCGAAACTGGACGCCGAGATCGTATTTCGGTCCTTCGATCCCGGGGTTCAGTTATTGCGAAGTACGATGGCGCAACCCATCGATTCCGCGCGAGGACCCATTGGTTGCGCCATGAGTCCATGCGAAGTACGATCCCGGGGTCCAGTCAAGGCGAATATGTCAGCCGTTAGAGCACTACTTGAGCTGCCGCTTGGGCAGTGGCTTGGTTAGGGCCCCAAAATTACGATACACATGAGAGCCCCATATGTCCAGATTTGCCTGGACGCTGCCTTTAGGCATTTCTTCTGGAAATCGATATTTGTGCAGTAAATGGTGGCTTGTGTTTTTTATGAAAGTTTGCTTGAAAAAGAATCGGTTATAATCATACCAGCATGAATCCAGCATATTTTCTAGTTTGCAGGAAGAAATCACTCAAGCACGCTGTATTGAATGTGATAGAGTCATTGACTCAAGAGGATCAAGACATGACAGGACTTCTTGCTCGCTAACGAAGTATTTCAGGTACTTTTGGCCTCATCTCACATTTTTATTTGTATGGTCTGAGTTGTTTCAGATGTCCTAAGTGTACTGCTTCATTCAATTTCGAGCGAAATCTTGATGTACATACCGTGATAGAACATTCTTCACAGGTTCTTATCTTTTTTACATACTCTTTTTTCAAGTCCTTCCTTGTTATTCAGGCTGAATACCTTCCTGGCTCGGAATGCAAATTTTGTGATGGTAAGCGTAAGAGAAAGTCTTTCCAACGCTACCACGCATTTTTGGCGCATGTGAGACAGCATGTTAAACCGGACAACTTTTTTTGTCCGTCCTGTCCGGAGGAGTTTGTTTATCCCGTGAGTACATCGCTTCTTTCAGTTTTTTTTGCAGTCAGATATCATGTTAACCATGGAAGTTGTGCATAGATTGATACAAATTCAACTTACATCATTCAAATGTTGACTTGTAGACGTAGTGGCGGAAGATCAGTGTGATTATCTTTTCGTTTACGTGTTTTTGGACTCTTTACTTTTTTGCAGAAAACGCAATAAGTTCTTAGTTGACCCAGAATGTTTTAAAATTTCAGAGTATGTTACGACGTCATCGCAGACTTGCACATGGAATAATGGAAGACGAAGTAGGTCTAGAGAATTATTCTGCCGAGCTGGGCTACTGTCCTCATTGCTGTTCGATGGTGGCTCTTGAGCAAGTTGATGGCCATCGCCTGCTGCATTCGATTCATGTGTGAGCTGTTGAACTGCTCAGTCAGCCTTTATTTCAATCAATACTTTTCAGCCAGCTTGATAGTAAAATGAAGCGTTCAAATGCGAGAAAGGAGAAGAACCGTAAAACTGTTGAAGTGCTCGCGACAGCTTCGGACAAACCTGAAAATGGCGAGCCAAAAAAGAAGAAGATTTTTCCATGCGAAAAGTGTGGCAAAGAATTTCCACGTGCTTTTGATCTAAAGAGACACACAGAAGTTCATGGTTAGTTAAGCGATCACTCTAGCCTTTTTTCCTGTTCAAAAGTTCTCAGTTCAGCTTTTTTTTTTTGAATCTGGTATGTTGTCCGGAACTTAGTTTTGCAAGAATAATACATGCATGTATATAAAGAACTAGATGGCAAACCCGGCTCCGCCCGGGACCAAACTTTGCACACATACATTTCGGGGCAGGGAGCGTGTCATAGTCCACTTTTCGTTATCGATCGATGTCGATTTTACCGATTTTTTGCGAAATTTGAGCTAGGGGGCTAGGATTTTGCACAGGGGGGTAATCGAGCATGCTGATCACCCCCACGGGGGTGATCAGCATGCTCGATTACCCCTCTGTGCCAACTCCCAGCCCCGTAGCTCAAATTTTGCAAAAAATCGATAAAATCGATATCGATCGATAACGAAAAGTAGCCTATGACACGCTCCCTGCCCCGAAGTATATGTGTGCCAAGTTTGGTCCAAATCGGTTCAGAAATAAAAATTTCTATTCCGCACATACGTACAGACAGACATACAGACATACAGACAGACATTCAGCTTTATATATAAGATGTTTTAGAATCGACAAAGAAATGGAGCTGCACAATGTGCGAAAAGAAGTATAGCCACAAGAATTGCTTAGATGATCATGTAAAAACTGTACACAGAGATCCTTTAGGCACTATGGTTACGTGTAAAATTTGTTCCCAAGTGTTCGCAAAGGTTTGATAATTTCGCTTTGCATTTTATCATGAGGCTGACAGATTTTGTTTGGTTTAGCAATCGAATCTCAATCGCCATATAAAAATGCAGCACCCAATCGGAGTTACTAAAGCTGTCCTTGACTGTCCCGAGTGCAGCTGTGTTTTTTCCAGTCGCAGAACACTCACCAGACATCGAAGAGAAGCCCATGGAACTGGTGCGAGCTTTGCTTTGATATGTAACTCTAATAATTCCGCAGTTTTCCACTTCAGAGGTGATATCTGCCTACTACTGCCGTGTATGCAATCGTTGCTTTCCTAAAATCTCGCTCTTAAGACGGCATAATCTTGTGCACGACCCAAGCGAGGGTTCGAAACCATATCAATGCAGTCGTTGTTTTAAGAGGTTAGTTTTATTTTCTCTTTTTGTTTCAATTTTTGGTAATTAGACATGTGTCATTCAACTCACGTTTCGAAACGTCCCATTTTCTGAATCAAAATTTCAGATTTAATCTGAAATCGACGCTGAAGCTACATATGGACATACATGCTCGCAAGGACGTTGACGATCCTGTTCTAACAAACCCGAAATGTCCGGTCTGCATGAAGCATGTGAGTATATAATTACAGACAGAGATGTTTAGTTTTCTTCTTTTTGTTATATGGAGCGGAACTTTTCTGCTTACTTAGTTAAGCTACGTGCACAATTTTTGGTGCTTACAACAACTCAGAAATAAGTATATATTTTCATAAAAATCGTTTTTCATTGCAGCTCTCATCACGTAATGCTCTGAGAAAGCACATGGCTATCCATCAATGCAACTTCGAATGCTCCATCTGTTTCCAGGTATGATACGACTGTAAATTTTCTATCCTCTACGTAATTTTATAGAAATTCTCGACTCTTCATCGTCTCGATAAACATCGTTGTGTACCTCAAGCGCTGTTGCAAAATAGCGCTGAAGGAGGGCTGTTTGAGTTATCCGCCTCAAGTTTGCGATCTAAATCGCAGATAAGGGCTCAGCAACCAACGAAGTGAGTATCGCCTGCGTTTGAACGTCTGCCGACATTGGTGGCAAGAGGCGATGCAAAATGCTCTCATCACGTAATGCTCTGAGAATGCATCATCTTTTCTCATTTCCTGTAGTATCTCGGTTTCCTTTACTGCACGCATGCATACACGTGAAGCATTTGACGGATTTCCAAAGGCCGGCAAAGTGAAATATGTTGCAATCTTTCTACTCTTGAATATCGGTAAAATTGTTCAGGAGATATCACTGCCAAATCTGCAGCAGCTCTTTTTACTCCTTCCGTGGTTATAAGGAACATTGTTCGCAGCATCAAGGACTACGCCCCCATCTGTGTTGGACCTGCCATAAATCTTTTCGAACTAGTGGTTAGTAATTCACTTTTTATGTCTATCTAAGTAACTGCTATGGAATTTTTTGCAGAATTATTGGAATTCCACAGAGAAGTCCACAATCGGGGCCCTGTCTATTGTGAATATTGTCCTGCCATACTCCAAGGTAGAAATCAGTACACTCAGCATATTCACTCTCTTCATCAGGCTGAAACAGGCGCTACCAAACAAAATGGTGTGAATCTGGCAGATAGAGTGGGTGCTGCATTCTTACTTCCATCGCTTTTTGACATTCATGAGAGCTTGGTCTCAAATGTTTCCTTATAAAATCTTTGTTTTTCTTTGAAGAGCTTGAAATATTCAGGTAGACGGCGCTGCATCTACACAGTCTTTCCCAGATTTGACTGGACGTGAGCTTGCTGAGAACCTTTTCCGCACAAGAGCTCAATCAGCTGATCATAATGATCATGATGTAGCGAATGCCAAGATGAAAACCTTCGCGAGTAAGATGTTTTTCTCAAGGAATCTGTTATTCTTTTTTACGAAATCAAATATTCTAGCTGATCATTCCTCCGCTTCGGAAGACCGTCCGGTTAGGTGTGAAGTATGCCGCCACCTTTACTACACAGTTCCACATTTGGTGGAACACTGGATGAAGTAAATTTTCCAGTGAGGTTTTGTCACTTGAAACCTATTCTAATATTTTAAGCTCTGGATGTGATCGCGACCATTCATTCTGCGTCATGCCTTGTCCTCTATGTAATTACTCTGCTAATGGTGTCCTTGCCGGAGTTGAACACATGAAACAGTATCATCCACATGTCATCGAAACTTTGCAAAGAAAAAACGAAGAGGAAGTGCATAGGTACAGCTGCGAATCTTGTAACTTTTCTATCAATTTATGACTTCAGTGCTGATGAGAACACGGCTGAGGGTTCCGATGGTGAAGGCCCATCGGAGGACACTCATGAAAGAACAAGAAGTGTGAAAAAGAAGCACAAGTGCAAAACTTGCAGCGCTTCGTTTGCCAAACCCAGTGACCTCGTTCGGCACATCCGAGTGCATACAGGTCGGTCTTTTGCTATATCTGATCCCTTTGATCTATCATATCCTTTTCCTAGGAGAAAGACCGTACAGCTGTGAGGTGTGCCAACGAGCATTTCGTGTTGCTAGCTCGTTGTATGCTCACATTCGAACGCATACCAGGGAACAGGCTGAACACCCTTGCGCTGTTTGTGGAGCTGTAAGTTCAAAAGTATTAGAGCTTTGTATTTTCAACTTTCTTTTCTGTAGGAATTTTTCTCGAGAAGCTCATTAGTGCTTCATCTTCGCATACACAGCGGAGAGAAGCCACTTCAGTGTCGTCGCTGCAATCAAACCTTTAGGTATTTTTCTTATTTATCAATCTCTGTTAATTTTATTTATTTTCACTTTTTCCTCCACTATTATTACTAAATTAGATTATTATCTCTGAACGTGATTTCAGAACAAGTTCGATAAGAAGGCAGCATGAAATAACCTGGCATGGCTTTTCTGGAGGACATGTTTGCAAGAAGTTCCCTTGTCACATCTGCAATGCCTGTAAAAGGCGTCGTTTGTTAGCGGAAATGCGCTTATCAGTAAGAGTTGATTAATGTATGATCCATATAATGCCCACTCGTTCAAAGGAACCCTCAACTGTGCCACCTCCGGAAATTCCATCGTCAGCAAAGACTCCAGCGGTCGAAAACAAGACGTTGTTTCCTGTCAAGAGAAAAGCACCTTCTGCTGTTGCGGTATGCTGACTGAATGATGCGTGTCACAGATCCCTGAGCAATGGATAATTTGTATCACTTTAGCAGGAGAATACAGAAGTCACTCATTCCAAACAATTTGAAGAGACAGTTGCCGAAATCAGCAAACTGCCACCCACAGCAATCAAAAGATCTGAGGGGTCTGCGTTCGGACCGGTGGTAAGCTTCCAAAATCCCAAGCTTGATAGTTTTTGTGTCTAGTTTCCATTTTCAATCAGGCGAAAACCGCTCATCAACCGCCACAACCGGATGTAGAACTCTTTATAACAGCAAGGCGAATAGCGCATAATGAGTATTCTGTCAGCTTTTCGAAGACGAAACCCAAGTCTATCCGGTCAAAGGTATTCTTTGTACCTTCATCTTCCTTACACCGAAATTTTTCCAATCTGTTTACACCAAGGTGGATACTACTGTGAGTCTGAGTGCTAGTCTTTTGTTGGATTCTGCAGCCAAGAACGCTTCTATACATCTCACACTCAGCGATTCACAAGTTTTGAGTGTATCGTGTGTCGGCGTTGTGAAAGCTATGCAAAGTTGTGACTCAGGTAAACTTATAGTTTCAGCATGTTCGGCATAAATGTGAATTTTTATCCTTTTGCAGTTGTAATGAGAGCACGACCGGTGGATCCATTATGTCCAAGCACAGTGGAATTACTGCCTCCATCCGAAGTTGTGGAATTTGTCAGGAGGTAGCATGCTACCATTATGTTTTCTGAAACAATTTAGATAACTTATTCAGGTGCGACGTATGTGAAGTCGATCTACATTCAAAAGAAGCGAGCGATGCTCATTTTGCTTCGGAGGATCACGAAACGGCACAGGTATGGCTGTGTTTGACATATGTCATATTTGATTTGCTTAAGATAGCAAAAATGAGTGATTCGTTTCTTCGTTATCGTTCACGCTTTATCCATATTGCGTACTTACACCATTCATTCTGGGACTAACAAGGGAAGGATACTTGGTCGAAGTGGCGTTTCTGTATGTGTATACCGTTTCGTAGGGCATGAAACACTGATTCCAAATGTGCTTTCGGTACGTGCAAAGCGTTTGAATGGGGGTTCTGAGAATTTCTGACGCAAAAATTTCAACGCGCAAATACAATAAAACCAATCAGAACTGTAGTCTGTGAGCTCAGATGGGACCATGATCACTGCCAGGGCGCTTTATGTATTAATATCTCTTCAGTTTGATAAATTTAAGCTATTCACTACTTCTTTTACGCGCCGGGCGACTTCAACCCTTGATTTTAGCTTAGCCAAACCCTTGAATTTTTGCCTCAAAAAATTTCTGCAACTCCCCTCCCAGTAGCGCTTTGCAGATACCGAAAGCAGATTTGGAATCAGTGTTTCATGCCCCATAAGACGGTATACATCTCATATGAAAACTCCACTTCGACCAAGTATCCTTCCCTTATAAGAGACTCGGAACCGCTTTGCACACAATGTCTATACACTCTAAACTTGCTCTTTTTTGTTCAAGTAGCGGTAATCCTAGATCAACTGGATCACAAGCATAAACTGTTAAACATATGATCGAGATTGTTTTGACAGTGTGTGCAAGTATATTTTACGGTTTCGAGTCGAAAGAGACGATTTTGTGAAATTGTGGCTTTTTTCTTGTTACCGAAATCATGCATCTTCTAACTCATAGATCCAACTTAAGATTACTCAACCTTTGCCTACGGCTGTACACGATGCGATTGAACATTCCATGCAGCCGGCTGCAGCCGTACCGCTTCAAAGGTATTTTTGACATTTTTGGCAACCCATTTACGTTGCAAGATAATCTGCTGTTTTCTTTTCAAGAAAGGATGAAAAGACTGATTTCACATGCAAGCTATGCGGGCGCAAGTTTTTGGATATGGAACCGCTTGTTGCACATATTCGTCTGGAGCATGAGCGTGATCATCCACCGGGTATCACACGCCCCTTGGCCAGAACTGCTCCAATCCATTGAACGCTATTCGATCTACGATTCTCTTTCAAGTGCACTTCCCCAAATACTTGTCAATATCTACCGGTAATATTTTTTCTATCCTATTGAAGTCTAGTCTATGAAAGATTTAGGTATAAGACCATTGTTTTAATGTCTACTAAGCAAAATGATGTGCATTGCATAGATACGCCGATCTTTCACCATTCCATTGTTTTAGCAAATAAAAAGATTATTGAGCAAAAACAGTCGTCCATGTTCTCAGCTCCGTGTTGCTGAACTTAGCCTCTACCTACAGCGTTGAGGTATGAATGCGTTTCATAACAAAGTTATCGTGGGATCCGCAGCATCGAGATCTTGACTGCTCATGTACCTAATGTGGTGACAAAATGCACAAAGGAGAAGAAGAAACATGAATAAACTCTGCAGATGAAGAGGGTTGCATTCGGATTAACTGAGCATCAAACAGTAGTATCTTTGAAGCGAGAAAATCACAGTCTCCTTCTGTGGGTGAAGAGGGTCAGGTTTGAAATGATGGGCTTCCCCTTCGCAACCGTTGCGCCGTGTGGCACAAAAAAAAGGCCTTTTCGGCGTAAAGGATTATTTTGTCGATAGACTTCGCTTGCTTGGACTCTGCCTCAAACAATGCAATTTAACAAATTGACGGTCCCGCGCCAGAGCCTATCAAGGATATGGTGACTTCATCTCTTTACGGCCACTCACGTTTTCGGCTCTGGCGCTTATCATAGGCTACTTTTTGTGGTAGCCACTGAGCTATTAATATATCGATTCTTAGTGCTCTTGCGTGAAAAGTGAAATCACATCATACATAAACCAGCATAGCTGAATCAATAGGAATGTCTGAGAGACTGAAAAAAATCGTCGGCTTTATCAGTTTTTTGCATCCACCTACGAGATTGGGAGTTGGCAGAGGGGAGTATAACATACCGACTAGGAAAATATTACTGAAAGGATCGAGCGAGCCGGGCTTGCCAGCTGGAATTTTCCAAAATATGAGACAAAAATCTGTTTAAACACCCCAAGCGGGTGTGCCAGCGAATGGGTTGCGAAAATGTGCAAGTGGCTTCTTCATGCTTGTGGAGAATTGAAGCAATTTTCAAAAATTTTGGGCAAATTAGCCTTGTAAAAATTCTTTTCAGGAACGTGGCTGCTGCCATGCCCCTTTTTTACAGTTTCCGGTTTATGGGCCCGGAATTTGAGGGCATCCCAAAAGTTTTTTTGGAGTGCGTGGCTAACGCCAGCATCCTTTTCAAAAAAAGTTTTGTCCTCATATATATATATCATATATATATCATATATATATATATCATACCGATATTGATTTTGAGTAAATTTGGAGGCTGGGACATAGTACAGGGAAGATTGAAAATACCCAAAAAGTATTCATTTGTTTTCATTGCGTTTATAAATTTTATCTAATTTTGGCTTTGAATAGGGCTTCTACGCTGGCAAGGAAGATTGTGCATGTCGATCATGAAAACAGAAGACAGGTGAGACATGGACAAGCAATGTTGTGTAGAAGTGGGACGGATTAGCGAGTAGATAACCTGGTACATCAGAGGAACTTCGGAAGGTGGTGTGCCAGTCTCTTTATGAGCATTATATATACGGTGTTTCAAAAGTGTTGACCTTTCCACAATGACCGGAGATGCCGGTTACTATTTTTTAATATTAGGTCATCCGAAAGGTGCTTTCATTTTGTATCCTTGATAAGAGTCGTAACTTTGTTCAAAAGTACACCGCATCATTGTCAGCACATCTGGTAACGCTCAGATAAGGTTCCTGTTCTCCTCTGCTCGTGTGAACATGTCTCAGAATATTCACGAAAGTCCAAAAAGATATTGTGGTGAGTAGTTAGTATGCCAGCACGAGGTTAGTAGATTTATTGTTAGTAGTGGCGGCCTAACGTTTCGACGATTTCGTCTTCTTCAGAGGCCTAAAGTGGTAGGAGATTTAGATCTTATGCTCTACCCCACCACAAACCTCCTCCACCCCTGGCCAGCCTCGATTCCACCCCCGAATGTTACAAAGAAAAATACGCAAGGGCGCAAAAGACGAACTGACCTCCTCCGCCGCTGCCGCCCAGGTGGATGTTGAATGCGGCCGTCCTCGAGTGTCACTAGTATGGAATACAGTATATACCATATTAATATTAATCAGTGGCATTCTTCAACTCACATAATGCCATAAAAGGCATAAAGTCATTCGTGATTGACGCGCACTCATTTCGGTTGTTCATGCATGGATTTCTTGCAAAAATCCAGAATGCCTCGAGAGCTTTTCTATTAGCAGTATCAGACTCGTATGCCAGTATAGTGCACGTAATTTCGAAGTCTTTACCACAATGGAATTCAACCCTATGTTTATAGGGGCCTGCAGGATCGCGAGAGTCGGACGTGCGTACGGCCATTGCGCCGCGCACGTCAGATCGGCGTCCGACGACTCGGGTAGGTGCCAGACTTATCCTGTTCAACAGGTTCATTCGGTTCACCACCTTTTCTGTGGACAATGTAGTGATTTGACCCATGAGCCGAACGAACCGGTTGAAGCGGATGAATCTGGCACCTGCCCTAGTGACATCAGACGTGCGCGGCGCAATGGCCGTACGCACGTCCGACTCTCGCGATCCTGCAGGCCCCTATACCAAGCGGTGTGATAAGACTTCCCCGTTTTTTGCTGGCAAGATGTTCTTTTATTCTTACCCAAAGCGGTCTCCCAGTCTCTCCGATATAAGTGGCGCTGCACTCGACACATTCAACCTCATATATAACACCCGTTTTACCGCAGTCACCAACTTTACCGGATGGACAAACTACGCAGTCTTGGACTCTGCAGTAGTTGTCGTATAATCTGTTACGAACTAGCCGCTTTCTGATGTTATCACTAGGAATATCAACTAAAATGAAATAAAATCTACTAACCTCGTGCTGGCATACTAACTACTCACCACAATACAACTAACTATGCCGAGGTTAAGAAAAGAGGAAACATGGAAGTTACTTACTGACATACCGCCACGAGTGTTTCCTCTGGTCAAAGAAGCACTGTCGCTTCGACAGAAAGTGGTATCCCTCCGCCAGTCGATCAAGTATCTCCAACGGTGCAGGACGTCCGGCATGGTGCCAAAATTCATTTCAAACAAGAAGCTGGGAGCACTATGCAGCCTCGAAGAGAATGACTCGAAGATAAAGAAGATCTATCGCACGATTCTAACAGTCATTATCAAAGAAAAGCAGCATGCATTGTACTCGTCCTTGTTGAAATGTACTCGTAAAGAATATGCGTGCCGACATCTCATACCTGCTCGATCTTGGAGGAGGATTGAGAACGGCTCGAGATCGATTTGTGTGGCTGTTTGTTTGTGGCTTCTATTCGATCTGAAGCCAAATCCAGACTCTGCGCTAAGTACGAAAAACTTTGGAGTGCTACTCTCAAAAATCCGGGTAACGTTGAAAGCAGCTTACCTTCCATCCACCGCTTTATCGAGTCTCTAACTCAAAATGAAAATCCAACCAAATTGGCTAAAGTCACGGTGATTGGCGATACTCCTATTTCTGATGACGCGCTTGGGTTTCTTAGTCTAGGCCCTTCATTTTCTATCGTTCAAAAAGTTGACGGGTCTGTTTTTCGGAAAGTTGTCGGTGGTTTACACAGACTCCGAGACCAATTGCGAATAAGGACTAGACTTAGTGATAATGACCGAAATCCACAGAATGCTCAAAATTCACAGTCACGACGAACAATTCCACCCATTCCTTTCCCAAGTTTGTTTTATAAAGAACCTCAGCCATCGGCTGAAGCTGATGTCAAGTTTGAGATTTTATCTGCTGGTGTGCTAGATGCTTATACTCATCAAGCTAAGCACCCACAACCGACCAACTTGACTCATTCGCAACAACTTGGCTACAAGGAAGTACGTGATTTAGTCTCTAGTAAAGCTATACGTATCTCGGTAAGCGACAAAGGAGGAGAATTTGTGGTTCTTCCACAAATCTTGGACAGGAAAATCACAGAACTCCACCTTAGCGATACGACCATCTATCGCCGTGTAACTGAGAAAGACTTTCAAGCACAATACAGGCGACTAAACCATGTTTGGGTGGAAGTAGGAAGAGCAGCTGGCCTTCCCGAGAGCTTTCTCAGCAGACTGAAATTGGAAACACCAGAATGCCCAGTCTTTTATAGTCTTGTTAAAACCCATAAACTAACCGCTACTGATGACGCGCGCATTTTGACGGCAGAACAGTTGAAAATAAGACCGCTCATAAGTTGTGTAGGAGGACCAACCGACCGAATTTCCTGGTTCTTGAATAAGATTGTTAATCAGCTTCTGGACAAAGTTCCGTCTCATTTAACCAATACGAATCATTTCTTGGAACGCCTTCGCAGCACTACTTTGCAAACGCAATGTATAGCAGAATCTTTTGACGTCGTGTCTCTGTACACGAAAAAATGATGATGCTCTGCAGGCAGTTTCGGAAATGTTGGACAGCTTTGGTAACAACATCCAGAACTTCGGGTTGAGTACAAGATCGGTTATGCTCCTGATCCAAGAATGCCTTTCTTGTAACATCTTTCGGTGATCAGAAACATACTATACTCAACTAAGAGGTCTTGCAATGGGACAGTGACTAGCTCCAGTACTGGCGATCTGCTTTATGAGCAGAATAGAAGAACCAGTGCTGTCACGTATGCCTCTTATGTATTGTCGTTACATCGATGACTGTTGCGTCATAACATCAACACAATCCGAAATGGATGAGTGTTTTCGACTACTCAATCAACAGTCACAGCACATAAAGCTTACGCGGCAGCAACCGAAAAATGGTTGGCTCCCCTTTCTCAACGTACAAATCAAACTGTTCAACGGCGCTGCGAGTGTGAAATGGTATCGTAAAGAGAGTTCCAAGAATATCTTGATCAATGCTCGTTCTGCACATCCGATCGCTGTTAAAAGAGCTGTCATTCGTAACATGCTCAAAACGGCAACGAACGTATGCACAGGAGAAGAAGAACGGAAGGAATCACAAAGTAGGGCGCTGGAGATTGCTCGAATGAATGGTTACGCGCCCCAAAAAGGACGCAGAAGACCATCCATTTCCACTCATAGCAATCAGCACCAACAGAAAGTACCTCTTTGCCTTCCTTTCGTTTCTGACGAGACTAGTGCTGCAGTGCGGCGATGCATTGATCGTGCGAACTTGAAAGACGATGTCATTTTAGTTGATATTCCTAGTGATAACATCAGAAAGCGGCTAGTTCGTAACAGATTATACGACAACTACTGCAGAGTCCAGGACTGCGTAGTTTGTCCGTCCGGTAAAGTGGGTGACTGCGGTAAAACGGCTGTTATATATGAGATTGAATGTCGAGTGCAGCGCCACTTATATCGGAGAGACTGGGAGACCGCTTTGGGTAAGAATAAAAGAACATCTTGCCAGCAAAAGACGGGGAAGTCTTACCACACCGCTGGGTAAACATAGGGTTAAATTCCATTGTGGTAAAGACTTCGAAATTACGTGCACTATACTGGCATACGAGTCTGATACTGCTAATAGAAAAGCTCTCGAGGCATTCTGGATTTTTGCAAGAAATCCATGCATGAACAACCGAAATGAGTGCGCGTCAATCACGAATGACTTTGTGCCTTTTATGGCATTATGTGAGTTGAAGAATGCCACTGATTAATATCAATATGGTATACACTGTATTCCATACTAGTGGCACTCGAGGACGGCCGCATTTAACATCCACCTGGGCGGCAGCGGCGGAGGAGGTCAGTTCGTCTTTTGCGTACTTGCGTATTTTTCTTTGTAACATTCGAGGGTGGAGTCGAGGCTGGCCAGGGTGGAGGAGGTTTGTGGTGGGGTAGAGCATAAGATCTAAATCTCCTACCACTTTAGGCCTTTGAAGAAGACGAAATCGTCGAAACGTTAGGCCGCCACTACTAACAATAAATCTACTAACCTCGTGCTGGCATACTAACTACTCACCACAATACAACTAACTATGCCGAGGTTAAGAAAAGAGGAAACATGGAAGTCCAAAAAGAATTTTTGACTTGCCATCATTCAATGGGCCTTGTTATTTTTTGATAGATTCCCAAAAGTGGGCAATCTCTTGGAATTATGAGCAACGAAAGCAGAACTGACACACTCTCGCATGTACTAATCCGTCAATTTGTGGAATAATTACTTCTGAAATTTTGCATCGGCTTTTGCGAAGTTAGCTGCAGAAGATGAGGTCACTTGACACCTTCCAGGACAATGCAAAATATGACTCTCAGTTCTCTAAATCTAAACTTTCTAACCAATCTTGCCCAACCCATAAAATTATATATAGCATTGGCAAATGCATTGCGCACATTTTTGCCCTCTCAACTACCTTACATTCGAGTTTGAGCTTTAGAATGCAAGTGACTAATCTTTTTTATGTGTCAACTTTACGGTCGTAATCCGCAGGAACTAGAAGACTTCATCTACAACCTGTATGTGGTAACACCCTATCCGTCCTTGACACTCTTGTACGGCACCAGTACCAAGGGCTCTAAAAACGGAAAAAAAAAACTTCTGAGGTGACTACGGAAAATTTCCAAATTGGATTGCTACGATTGTAGTAAGGAGGAGGTTACAATATCTATGGAAGCTACATTAATGCCGCTACGACAGCGACTCTGAGGTCTCTCCACTTACTAACAAAAAAATTCTTTGGAGTTGATAAAGTTCCGTAAATAGGACAGTACTAAAATGGAAATCAGAATCGGCTCTTTTTTTCCTTCATTTTTGCTGATCAGTTTTTTGCTAATGTATTAACAAAGACTGAATGATTGTAATCTCATGATAAGCACATATCATTCATGGAATTCGGTAAAAGTGATTAACTTTTTTCTGCATTTGTACATGTTTGCTTGCTTTGTTGTTCTTTGTTTGTTTGTTTCTCCAATTAGACAAGCGCAAAACAAGGTAGTAAGGGTTCCAACTAAGCACGATTCAGTGAGCATCTGAGTAAAGCAACGGCAAAATATTATCTTTACTTTTATCTCATACAGTAAACGTGTTCCAAAACCAGGGTGAGTACGAGTAAGTTGATTTCCTGAATTTTTCTGGTTGGGAAATCGAATGGTGCACAAAAAATGGACTGCCACCACTCGGCATCTACGTTACTTAAAAAGACAAACTGATAAGACTGTATGATTTATAGCTTTACGGGATGCCATTAGCTTTTGGGCTGCCACATCTTTCAATCTGCGTTCACGAATTTGTTAGTAAATTCCACATTTTTCCAACAGTATGGTTGATGTACCGCAGCAAAACTTAAGCACACTGATGGACTTTTCGAAAACGCAATTCTGATTTGATTCAACAGGTTTCTATCAGTACGAAAAATCAGTTTGGAAATGCTTGGAAAGGCATTTAGTTTATGTTGCGTTTTTTTTTATTTGAATGTTCTATTTTACCAAATATATTAAAAACGAGCTGGCATTTCGGCACTCCGTTTGGAGCCAGTCCATCGTGCTTGACCTCTCCTGTAGCGAAACTTATCCTTCTTTTGATTCCGACTCGTCTTGGGTTCTCTTCCTATAGTCTTTACCATGTCTTGATGACCATCAGATAATGAGCTTCACCGCTTATCCTTCATGACTATGGGGAATGTGCACAGACATACCGGTTTTCTGCTTTATACAGGGTGTCCCAAAATAATGTGCACACTGTTTGATTTTGAATAACTCTCTTATTATGGGGTCTTTCGAGAAGCGGTAAGCGCCATTCTGTAGAGCTGGCTTCAACTTAGATTAGCAGTATAGAGCGAATCACCGACCGCTCTTCATTACTGTAGGATTACGGTAGAAACTTGAAAGAGGGTTTTGGGCCATGAAAGGCCATATTTTGCCTCAGAAAGGAATCAAAACAGCTAAAAACTTTTACACTAGGCCAATTAGAGATGCTGATTCTAACTGTAAAGTTCCCAACTTATTATTCCCAATAAGTTCCCAACTTATCACTCACTGAAGAGTTATGCGAGGTAAGCAGAAGCGGCCATTTTCTCAATGTTCCTAAGAAGTGCGGTTACACCGTTTAGAAAGCTTCGCAATCTTGAGAATAGTTGAGTATTGAACTCGGCGTCCCTGAAAACCCTATTACACAAGTTTTCACATCTTTTTGAAAATTTTTGAAACGGCAGCTTTTTCCACAGTGACACCATATGTTCCAAGTTTCTACCGTAATCCTACAGTAATGAAGAGCGGTCGGTGATTCGCTTTATACTGTGAATCTAAGTTGAAGCCAGCTCTACAAAATGGCGCTTACCGCTTCTCGAAAGACCTCCTAATAAGAGAGTTATTCAAAATCAAACAGTGTGCATATTATTTTGGGACACCCTGTATATAGAGATTACATTCAATAGAAATACGACGTATCGCGTAAACTGAAACATCTCCCAGTAGAAACAATAATATGAGTTGGTTGTGAAATGATAATGAAATTTATTACATTCCGCTGAACCTTCCACCGTTTTTAGAAGAAAAAGATTTAAATTATTTTCTATTAACCTGTATCGCTGTTATATGTCAATACCGAATCTTGCCTATATATAAATAATCGGGGAATTTTTTTCTGCAATCTATATAGAAGCAGAAGAAATCGTTAGTGAAAAAAAGTTGGAATTTTGTGGAAGTTTTCGGTATCTTACGGACTAACCTAATACCTTCCACTTTTTATATAAAGACTTTGTAAATCACGCCAAAAGAAAGGAGCAAAATTGTTTTGAAATCGTCACGCATTCTTGCTTTTTTGATGTTCGCTATCATGGTATACTATTAGAATCACTTGGAAGAAAAAATTTAGCGACTTCAGAAACTCTGTTTGAGTATGTTTATTTTTGTCACACTAACGTTATGTATAATATCGACGTGCAGAATCGTCTATGCTATCGCAATTAAGAAGGATCTAAAGCTGGTCAGTTTATGCCTTCAAAACGCTCTAAACATATATCCATTATTATCTATGAATCACGCAGCTTTTGCACCAAGAAAATGCTGCAGGTTTTATTTGCAGCTGTCTGATAGTTCAATAGTAGTCGCAAAAAGATTTATTTTTCAAAGCGCTGTTTAAGGATCCCCATATCCACCTCGACAACCAACGTGTATATAGAATATTGGTGGGTTACCCTTTATATTCTTATGGTAGTTTTTACCTTGTTCTTAAGCTATTAGGTCGTTTCATAAGTTCGTAGAGTTTCTATAAATCAACAAAGTGACAAGATTTTAGCAAAATTCAGTCAACAATGTATGTTACGTTATTGCCCAGAACCTTCTATCACCATGCCGTCAGATTTTCTATTCCGTCTTCCCAAAACCCAGCGGGTCTGGTCCCAAAAAAGTCGTCTAACCAGCGCCTGAAATCGTCTACAAAATCAAAACAGACGCCGTCTATATGTTGTGTGATACAGTGGAAGAGACGACCATACGCTAGAGCAAGATCTCTGGAATACATTGAGTACCAATGTCCCTCTCGCTCAAGTCTCACAGGACAGCTATGACGACGGTGGCCGGGGGTGGGGGGGGGGGGAAAGTTTTGTCGCGCAGAAAAGTTACAGGACTTATTTATTGAATCTTTTGTGCAGTAGGGATTCGTTTATACGTGCAGTCGAGGTTGCATATGATATGGGCGACCGTCTTCTTCCTGCCTAGCAAAATTCAGTGCACAACCTCCTGCCCATCCTGGAAGAAGCTTTGTTCAGGTGACACTCTGCAAACTCTTTGTTTTTGAAACAATGTAGTCCTTATTTTGCCTCATGTTGGCAAGAAAACGCCATCTTCCATAATCGGCTAAAAATCTTAGCAAAACGCCTCTTTTTTCATAAGAAAAAAGAGCAAATGCCGAAAATGCTTCTTTTTGCCTTCTGAGAAATCCTTCTTTGGAAGCTGTAGAATCAAAGCAGACCAGCTTCTCCTAAAAGATAATTAGTCTATTGTGAAGAGCATGATCAGCTCCTTTCGATGATATGCGCATTTTGCCGCAAACCAACCGCTTCTCAAAGAAATGAGAACGAGAATGAAAACTCTGAATTTATGAAACGACCTAATATTTTCTGATTTTGGCTATTCAAATATCAATTCAGTTAAGAGAAACAGTAGGCTGCTAGCAAATGTTTCAAATATTTACATTTTCAGCTGGAATCTGCACCTCATGGATATACGCATAGAATCTCAGCAGGAAGTCGTAACGAGGAGTTTACTGTAATGGTAACAATGCGAAATTCTATGTTGTGGATACCAAGTATTAACTGCACGTAAGTACAATGCGTTTGACGGGGCCAGCGCCGCGTAGTGCAGTTACACATAACGCGCGAGCGCTACCGTACACGCAACGTGCAGGGACCATGCTGCGCACAGCATCGCGGACCTTGTTTTCATCTTGGTATCTTGTAGTTTTTCGTTTTCATAGCAGTGGATTGTTATTCTTTTTTGCTTTTAAGCTTACATGCGATCTGTCGTGATACCGAATACGATTTTTCGGAGCAAAGGAAAGAGGTATCAAATCTTTGAGTCTTTCCCTATGACATCTTTAATTTCATCGAGGCTTCTTCGGATGACTGATTCCGGATGTCACGATTCATTATATCAACTCGCGTTTCAACGGAGATAGTCGTATATTTGAGTTAGTTTGAGTGAACAGCGCCAACGTGCTGTTCACTCAAACTGTTCTCTCAGCCTACACGATATACGATCACATCTTATGACAATCATCTTTAGCTGTAAGGAGGAAGAGTACCAGTTATTCTCAGATTTTCAAATAAGATGATTAGATAACTTCTTCTTTGAAAGACCTCAAACCTCCATCATTTGTGCGGTGATAGTTTGAGAAATGTCAGCAAATGCTGAAGTAGAGTTTCAGACAGGAAAATGCAAAAATTTGAAAGAATGACAGAGAATAAGCTAAGAAAGAAGCAGGAAGAGTAGTCAAAACAAGGACTACACCGCTTTGCGCAGCATGGTCCTTGCACGCTGCGGCGATGGTAGCGCTCGCGCGCAGGTGTGTGACTGCACTACGCGGCGCTCGCCCCGTCAAACGCATTGTATATTATGCGATCACAAAAAGTGGATCATAACTAAGATTTGAGGAGATATAAAAGGTGTGCTTGATGCTAGAGGAAAAGTGAATCAAGCTAGAAAATGTGGTATGACCCAAACCCTTCTAAGTTTGGTGTTCTTTTCTTAGTGATTCTAACCTTCACTGTTGCGGTGTTAGTGAGTCACACCTAAACAGGAACGATACTTGATTACCCTGGCCATTCACAATGGTTTGTATACCAAAAATGCGCCTTTTAATGCTGATTCGAATACTGTTTTTCATATCTGCGAAACGGGAACTTGGATGGAGTTATGATTATTTTCTCAGAAATTGCACTACTGCGGAAGATGAAAATCATTAATAAAAAATTTTCCATGTTTTTTAAATGCTGAATATGGTTCAGATAGATATGAATACAACGCCACACCTTCAAGATTCTCCTCAATAGCTTCTAACGGTAAAATAGATCAAACTGGGTGATTTTAACTACCTAAAAGTACGCAAATTTTCTACGAAAAAAGTTCATAACTGCCTTCATAAGATCGTTTCGCAGATTTCAAGCACAGATTTAGAATCAGCGTTTCGGGATGCACATTATGGTGTACATCGCATTTCACATGGCCGGGGTAACCAAGTATCGTTTCCGTTCCCTGTTAAGATGTGCCTAAATTACAAAGAAAGGTGGCACCACCAAAGAGATTTCCCCAATGTGAGATGGGTGGCGACACTTGCGAAATGCTACTGTCACGATGGAGGCACCGTACACCCTGAGGACCTTGCCAACAACTTACGTAGCAGCCCTTACGTATTCTGCGGTATTAACCTGTCTGTCATCATCGACACCTGGGACATAACATAATCTGTGGCATTACATGGATCGTGACTGTTAACGTACTAGTGGAGACAACGGCTAGATTATAATGACGATGCACATTATAAAGTATTACAGCGGAGCCACAGCCAATGGCTCACCGCATCAATAACACCAGCCTCAAAGGCTCACTATTATTCTAACATCGAGAACTAGCGCATATATTTATGAGGGAATAGTACAACCAGATGTTTTCACTAGGGAGGGATCAAATCAGAGGACCTATGAGGCTTCACCACCGCCGTATGGCAGGCGCGATAGTGCTCGGGTTACCTCGCTTACTGCAGGAATCCTCCAAAGCGTGTTTGATGTTGAACTTCGCAAATGATAGACCTGCGGATGGACATTGGAAGACGACCCCTCACGGGGCACAACGAAAATGATTTGAGTGCGAAGATGGATGTGTTCATAGTTGTTAAGAGGGGCCAAGGCTGCGCGAGAATTGGCGTTAGAACTCTTTGCGAAGCGGCGGCGAGCCCCCTAAGAAGTCGCGCAATTCGCGATACTTGATTCCTTGAGTAATTTACTTAAGTATTTCGGTGGCTTATTGCGTCGCACACGTCTTTTTTATGCAACATTCACGTGCCTGATAGATACAAATTATGTGACTGCAGTATTAAAGAAACTGAAAGGTTCACAAAGAAAAATCTCGACTATTGGGAATCATGCAGTTGAGGACAAGATATATGAGTTTGCTATACTGTACCTTTCATGGTTGCACTATAATGCTGCACATATGGCATAATTTCCTCTTCTGTCCGTCATTTACTCGGCAGTACTCATCATCAACATTTTACCCAAGATTATTGAAGTACTCTACAAGTTTAGGGTTAATTACATGCTATAACTTCAATCAACTATGTGTTGATATCAATGAGATATGATCGGCTCCCAGATTTGTGTCGTGTTGCGCGCTTTCCCTGATCATAAAATTATTGAACCTTTACGTTATGGCATTGCTAATCGTACTCTCTTGCTATCAAAAGCCGCGAAGCTTTAGGTTGACAAGACATCACCTCCACACGAATGTGGGAGCCGATGGTACTTAGTGCTACTCATTTCTACCAAGAAACTTATTCAAAGTTCTTCTACTTTGCTCTTTGAAATTATACAAAAACGCTGTGCGCGTCATGAATGAATGTCATCAAGTGAATACCAGCACTCTGAGCTCGGTTATTAGATCTCTTATGCAGAATTCTCAAAATGTAAAATTGAAACTTCGAATCTTTGTTAGCAATCTTACTAAACTCAAGATTTAGAGAGTGTGGAAGTAAAAGAAAATTCGATCCATATAAATCAAGTTCTTTCACTAATACCGGCTACAACTGGTCAATTCAAGATGACGATGGGACTGTGGGTGGTATGCTAGGAATCGACAATCTTGTTGTAAGTAAATTTGGCAAGCAATGCTTTTTAAAAAAATACAAGCTGCTGTTGGAAGCCGTTAGTGCAGGAGATGATTGTTACATTCGTTTTGTTGTGGTCATAGAATGCCTAAATGTTTAAATTACTTACTGTAGTAGAACGCGTTGAGTCGTTGACGATTTATTAGAAAAACACAAGAGTCCCCCCTCTGCCTATCGACGTACATGCCGAGGTTCACTAGGAATAGCTCGAGAACAACACACAAATAGATCAAAGTGAGGCGGGTACGCCGCAACCACAGAGACCATATCGACCTAGCCTATAGTGAGTTAGCAAGTTCCAATATAAGGGACGGCTCTACAATACCTCCCTCCTAAGATGAACAACGGTACATCCTACAACAAGGATCTACTTCAAAACGTTTTGGTGGGCGACGATGGCGACTTGGTCTGGTTAATGTCGGTGGTGTAGACGAGGTGGCTTGGTGTTCAGCAGCATCCATACCATTGTTACGTCGGCCTTCGTCGGGGATGGACTGTGTTGAATCATGATGTCGATCCATACTTGCGGCGCGGCGCATCTGGTTCGCATGACGTCTCCATAACTGTCCATCTTCCGTAAGCACGTCATAGAGCGCTTCTCCATAGCGTTTCTTCACTCGTGCTGGAATCCATTTTTCACATCCAGAGCGAAAATCACGTACCCACACGGCTTTTTCTGGCTGGCACGCTTTCCTTCGTGTTCCATGGTGGCGGTTAAACTGCTTCTCCATTGTTTCGCTGTCCATCTTTCCTTCTTCTTTGGAATCTTCATTCAACAACGACAGCGGTGTCCTCATCGACGTCCCAGCAGCATTTCGGCAGGTGAACGTTTTCCTGGAGCAGTTGTACAAGACGTTCGTTGATACGACTGCAGGAACTCGGCAAGCTTCTCTGTCGTTCCTCCCTCCTTAATTTTCTGGAAGGTTCTCTTGAAGATATCGACATACCTTTCCATTTGATTGTGGATGGAATGGGGGCGAACGCATGTGCGGGAATCCTCGCTTTTCACAAAAGTTTTGAAACTCCTTTGCTGTGAACTGAGTTCCGTTATCCGACACGATTACTCGCGGATTTCCAAATCGAGCGAATAGCAACCTAAGTTCTTTCAAGGTAGGTGTAGTTGACGATGAAGACATCTCAAACACTTCTGGCCATTTAGAATAAGCGTCAACTACACGAAGTACATCTTACCATTCAGCGGCCCTGCGTAGTCAATGTGGAGACGATTCCATGGTTTGTCTTCCATTTTCCATGATTGCAGTACAGTCTTCACTGGCATCTTGGCTGCTTATTGACATTCCCTGCAGCGGCGTGAGTCTTCAAGTCTCTATTGATTCCCAGCCAGTATGCGAATCCTCTCGCGAGCATCATCCTTGTCATTCCAGGGTGTCCCTCGTGTAACTGTTTCAACACCTCTTGTCAGCGAGATTGGAATAACTATTCTGTGGCCAAAATACAAACATCCATTCTGCACTGATAAGCTCTCGCCCAGTCTCTAGTTCCCAATGTCTCCTTTCGGCTTGGACAACCATGCTCCTGATTGAAGCGCATGTATAACCTGCGAAATGGTTTCGTCCCTACGGGATTCTTCTTCAATCTTGCTCTTGGTTACTGATCCGCCCTTACAGCGGCAGCTTGAACGGCTTGCACATCTTCTTCTATCTTCGCTATCACGACGTCCTTGGTTTGGAATGGCCGTGGAGGGATCAATGGAGACAATGCATCGGCTTGTCTATACTCGGTCGTCTTCTGGTACTTCAAATCGAAGTAGTATGCGAGAAGAATAAGTTTCCATCGTTGCAATCTGTTTGCTGTGTATACAGGTACCATCTTCTTCGATCCAAAAATGTGCAGCAGCGGCTTGTGGTCGGTGAGCGGCCTGAATCGGCGTCCGTATACGTATCGATGGAACTTACGCACTGCGAAAACCAGTGCAAATCCTTCTTTTCAATTTGTGCATAATTCTTCTCGGCGGCTGTGAGGCTCCGGCTTGCATGGCAAATCGCCTTTCCCGATCCATCCGGCATCTTGTGTAAGATCACAGCTCCAATTCTGTAATCCGATGGGTTGGCAGCTACCACTATCTGCAAGCTAGGATCGAAATTTGTAAGGAGTAGATCCGAGGCTAAAACTTCCTTAGCACGCTCGCATGCATTTTGGCATTCCTCTGTCCATTCCAACCTTGCAACGCGTCCAGGGGTGCACGAAGTTGACGCATCTCGGCCACAAATAATCCATAGTAATTGATCATGCCCAGGAATGAACGAACATCCGCTATGTTCTTCGGCGCTGGCATTTGCTGTATGACCTCAATCTTCTTTGGGTCCGGCCGGCGTCCGTTTTTGTCGATGTTGCATCCTAAGTAACAAATCTCTGGCATCAGAAAATGGCATTTTTCCAACCTGACTTGGAATCCATAGTCCTTGATTCTCTTAAACAAGGCTTCCAAGTTTTGGCGGTGTTCTTCACAACTCCTTCCCGTGATGATGATGTCATCAAGATAAGCGGCTACTCCATCAAGTCCGCTTATCATGGAGTCCATTACTTGTTGGAAAATTCCTGGCGCAAATTTCACCTCAAAGGGTAGGCGATTGTAGCGATACAATCCCTTGTGCGTATTGATGGTTAACATCTCCTTTGATGCTTCTTCGACTTCCACTTGTAATACGCTTCGGCTAAGTCGAGCTGTGTGAAGAGTTGGCCTCCATTTAGTTTTGCGAACACTTCCTCCGCTGTGGGCAATGGGCGCTGATGCAACTGCAATGCATCGTTTAATCCTGTCAAAGTCGGCACAAAGACGGATTTTCCCGTTCTTCTTCTTGACAGCAACTACCGGTGCGGCCCATTCTGAGTGTTCAACCGGAGAAATGACTCTTTCGGCTACTAAGCGGTCAATTTCGGCTTCCAACTCCGGTGCTGTCGCGTAAGTCACCGGTCGCTTCTTCTTGAAACCTGGAACAGCATTTCTCTTCAAAACTAGCCTTGCCTTGCTCTTCGTGCATTTTCCCAGATCGCTGTTGAAGACTTCTGCATATCGCTCCTTCAAATCGACGACCACTTCGGCTCATTTTTCTTCGCTAGTCAAATTCCTGCAGTGGTAGTTGTCCTTCAGCTTCTTGTATGCCGGCAGCTGAATACACCACTCTAATCCAACTAAGTTCGAGCCTTCGGTGACGTAGCATGTGCCGTTTCCATGGACCATCTTTCCTGTATGTCGATCTCTAACAGAGAAATCGGTTGAAAATTTACCATAAATCTGCATCGGCGTTCCGTCTGCAGTTTTGACTGGCATAATACAGCTTTCCAGAGATGAGGATCCCATCCTCTTCCAAACTTCATGCGATATCAAGTTATGTCCGCACCTGTATCCAGCCTGCCAGATTGGGGACACTTTCTTTTGAAATGTGGTCCTCGCAGATGAAGTATTTTACCTTTTTCTTCCAAACAGCATGGATGTCGCGCGTTTCTTCCATGTCTGTATTATCCATTTTAGGGGCAGTGAAATTCTCACATTCCGCGACTAGGTCTTCAATTGTCAACGGTGCTTCGTCCTTGTGAGCGTCTAGTCGACGAATCATCCGAAGGCGAAATTCCCCAAGTGAGGGATCTTGAAGACCTGCTACGAACTGCAGCTTCTTCATCGCCGTGTAGTCGACCTCCTTAAGCCGCGCATCCTCGTCCATCCGCTTGATAGTGTTGGCGTACTCACGGAACGGTACGTACGCTGGCGTAAGCGGAGGGCAGGTTATTCTTAGGCACTCATAACGTCTCCTGATGAGCGTCCTCTTGGAGGCGAACAGCTTCTGGAGATTCGCGACGGTGGTTCGAAATCCAAGTCGCTTGGTTGCGCAGGCAAAACCTCATCGGCATACTTCCTGTATGCTTCTTCATCTAGCTTCATGAGCATCAAGTCGCGCTTCTTCTGACCCGGAAGCTGGGAGTCGCGAATGACCGGTCCATACCTGCCATACCAGTAAGCAAATGTGTTACCTGTTTTTTCGTCTGAGATAAATCTCTGCACGTCCTTGCTCAGCTGGTCATATTGATCCTTACTGGCGTCTTGGACGGCTACGCTTTGGTTACTGGTCAAAGCAGTGACCAACGTCTTCATCTGCTTCTGTTGTGCTTGCCATTGCATTTGCATTTGCTTCTGTTGAGCTTGCAACTGCACTTGCATTGCTCTTGTTGAGCTTGTAGATGAGCCTGCATTTGTTCCTGTTGAAGCTGCATATGCAGCTTCATCTCCTCCTGTTGGAGCCGCATCTGGTCGACCATGACTGATAGGACCTTTTCCAGAGAGTCGTGACCATGCCGTTCTTCACTGGCTTTCGGCATGGTGGACCTCTCCTCAAAGACTTCTTCTGTTGAATGAATAATCTTCTTAGCAGAGCTTACTTGTTTAGCTGTCCTCGACCTGTTACAGCTTCCTCCCCGATCCGAGCTGCAGCAACTCTTCTTGTCCTTGATCTAAGGAGGCTTCTGGTCCTTGGTCGGTGGAGCTTCTTCTGGTCCTTTGTCGGTGGAGGCTTCTTGTCCTTGAACGAAAGAATCAGTATAATTCATTTTTGGAAAGAAACATAAGGGAGCAGGTATCAATTTGATAATCGAGGAGGAACTGACTTCTTTACTTCTTTCTAATTAATCGTTTGATCGCTCAGGTTGAACCTTTGGAATCAAGGATGGACATTGCTGAGTGTATTTTTGGATTGGCCACAAGAATATCAGACTATGACAATCTGGTAAAGTACAAGTTATTGAAAATCCAACCTCAATGTCTTGATTTGAGGAAGAAGTGGACGGGTTATTTGGACTTTTACCTATTGCTAGAGGTGGTATGTCTGGCAGACCATTGATGCGCCAGATTGGGAGTGAGTTTTTGTAAATAACAACTGCATTTTGATGATGTTGCTAGATTCAAGCGAATTGAGAAGATTTCACAAATAGCAAAGCTGTCAATTGTTCGTTTACCCATCTAATATCGCAAATTCAAAGCCCTGTTGAACCCATCGTTTACTATCGACTTGAGCCAGCAATCACAAGCTGGAACGGTTGGATCTGTATTCTATGGACGTGTATGGAATACTGATAGTTGCGTGAATGAGGCATCTGTGCAGATCTACGACCAATTCAATCCCTACCAATACGAGGTGAGGATGAATGCTTACAACATGTCCTTCTTGGAGCATACACTTTCAAACCGTGCAGGCTATCACTTTAATGTTGAACAATGGAGGCATTGAGTAATTTTGTCTGGGTAGTTTTGTCTTTTCGGCTCTGTGCTCTCATGCCTGGCTCTACCCGCAATCCCAATGCCAGCAAGCCTTCACTTCCAGCACAGCGCTGCCTGGACTGATGCGCCGCACAAGTGCGAGTTTGAAAACCTCACCAGCAGAAATCCCGGAAATTTAGCAACAGAGATTAAGGAAGTACGTTCGACTGTTCAATAGGGAGTTTTTATCCCTGCGCGCGCCTTTCGATCGCTTTTTGCATCTGCTTTTTCACAGCAACGTAGTGAATAACGCAAATATTCCGTTTTCAGAAAAAAATTAAACCCCCCCCCCTATGTTCGATCTCAATACCCCCCACCTTCCCACCAGCACGTTTGCCTTCCTTAGGCATGACATAAAGGCTCTACCATGCATAATTAGTAACATGTTCATTATTAACACGTCAGATAATCTCCAAGGGCCAGGTTTTACTAACTCTGAGGGTTCACAATACTGGATCACTCAAGTAAGTGGTCATTTTCAAACTTGATTAATTACATTTCAAAAGTGAATCAGCTAACTCTTTTTGTGCTCGAAGTACTACTCCCTTACTTGAACATCCTGGTTTGAATAACCATTAAATTATTGCTAGAAGCAGGCAAAAATCTCTTGTCCATGTCTTCTATTACTGCGCTTTCACAGCTTCTCTCACAAGGGACTGGTCAGAAGTCGAAGTGGCCAATCCATACAAGCTGCATACCATTCAATGCGGTATAGAATGCTGATTTCAAATATGTCTTCCGTATCTGCAGAGCGCCTTTGTAGGCGAAGTTATGAGCAGCTTTACTGTGAAAAAACCGTATACAAAAATTGCGAAATTAGACACATTATTGTTCTTCCAGCTCATCTCTAGGTACAGGTCAAAAGTGACCTAGTTGATGTTTTGGTCCAACACTGAGCCGAGAATGCCGTGTAAAGTGCATGGCCTTGTACGGCCATGCACTTTACACGCACAATTTCTGAGCAAACTAATGACCTTTAACGGCTTATAATTTCGTACACAAAAGCGCTCTGCAGATAAGGAAGACAGATTTAGAGTCAGCGTTTTATGCTGCTTCTAATGATATGCAGCTTGTATGGATTGGCCGCTTCGACTTCTGACCATTCCCTTGTCAGAGCGAAGAAGACGAATAAGGCCTAAATTATTCCTATGAAAACTGCACGATTTTAGCTACCGAATTATATATATTATAAAGAAACTTTTTGGAGGTAAGTTAGTGGGGTACGGGACAACAGAAAAGCTGTGGCTGCCACACCTTTTTAGGGGTTGTGCCAAAGCCCATTTACTTACCTTCAAAGCATGCAAATATCTGGCTTTCTCATGTGTTTACTACTGCTGAACCTTCTTCTCCACGTAGCAAGAATTTTCTTCAAGATTGTTTCTCCCAGGGAAAGATATAGTCGTTTATCCTTACAAGGGAATGATCAGAAATCGAAGTGGTCATTCCAGACAAGCTGCATACCGCTAGATGCAGCATAAAGCGCTGACTCTAAATCTATCTTCCCTACCTGCTTATCGCTTTTCCGACGAAGCTATAAGCCATTAAAGACCATTATTTTGCTAAGAAATTATGCGTGAAATTGAAAATTTACCCCTACAGAGCCACGCTCGCCTCAATGCTGGGCCAAAACATGCCGCTAGCTTACTTAAAATTTTTGAAGCCAGAAGCTGAGCTAAAAGCGCAACGATGTGCTCAATTTCGCTGTTTTTGTGTATAATTCTTTCACAATAAAACCGCTTGTAGCTTCGTCCACAGAAGCGGAAAGCAGATAAGGAAGACAGATTCGAAGTCAGCGTTTTATACTGCATCGAATGATATACAGCTTTTCTGGTTTGGCCACTTCGACTCCTGACCATTCCCTTGTTAGCTATGCAAGTGAAGAACACTGCGAAAATGCTGGATTACGGTGATATGCTAAGCCTGTACTATTAGTTGAATCGCGAGGCAAGGCGGCAAGAACAAATATGTTAGATAGTCTAACCCTCGTAATTTTCAGAAAAGTGATTTGCCTAGTCTGAGATATTGAGAACGAAAAATGGAACAAACGAGATTTTGGCCTGCTCTTACTTCCAAAGTCTGAGGTTTTTCAAGTGGGACTCCTATTGTGAGCAAAGAAGTAGTAGTTTTTCGTATTGAGTGCACAAATAACTAGTTAACTCCCCTTTGGAACAAACTTGAGTTGTTCGAAAATGACCATCTCTTGGGCGATCTAATATTTGGAAACCTCAGAATTCGCTGAAACTTGGCCCTCAGCGTTGTTTGACATGCTAAGTACGGAAATGATGCTATTATGATCGCTCTTATGGTAGACCAAAATAACAATGTTAGTATTTTGCATTATGAGCCTATCAGACATTGCTGGCGGACATCATGTCGCTAACATCACTATCACCTCGACAACAATCTACTTCCCCTCTCCCTGACCCCTCAATACTATCCTCAGGTGTGGCGTGCCACACCCAACGCTTGATCTTGAACACTTTGGTAATATAGTGGTATGTAATTGCCATCTTTGAAGTTTGTCATTGTCATTGACCACTGTCATTCTGCCAAGCCGACTTGGTGGCTTTTCCTTTTTCTTTCCTTGTAGAAATCACAACTTGCTTGTACCAGGTAAAGATAGATACAGAAATATAATGGGGAGAGAACACTCGAAAAACGAAGCAATAACACATTTTTTGAGCAGAAGAGTACTTCAAAGACCCATAGAGACTGTTCGATGCGAAAGGGCAATGAAGACAACTTTCGCTTTGGACTTCACTGATTGATTACATGGGGGATTGCAGCGTCATGAATTGTAGCAACCTCCTCCTTACCAGGACACTGCCTTTATATCCTGGCACAGTCCTTCGTAGTTTTGTGTCGCTTTGGTAAGGTCATTTGTAATTTTAGATAATTTAATCTAGTTAGCTTCTTCTTGAAAAGAAATTATTGCTCCAAGCGGATGCGCAAAAATGTAAAGCTTCATTTCATGATAAAAGGAACAACTTAGAGCAAAATCTCAATGGGGAGCTTCAAACCGTCCCACGCGTACAAGGCGATGCTTGAATTGATCCCATTTATCAGTGGCCCACCAGAATTTGTCGCTGGAATTGCCAGCTGTGCAGGAGCTGAGGTATAGTTTGTCGTCATCCAGTATAGCAAGGATTTTTGATTCTTGCAGTACATCGACGGATACTATGAAGTTAACTGTGATGAAGCCAACTCTATACCAGATCTGACTATAGCTTACGCACAAGTACCTCTTCACATATCATCGGATAAGTTTATCACCAAGGTGATTGATTGAGCGTTGTCGGGGCTTTGTTTAGTCCTCAAATTGCTGATTGCACTGTGTGATTCTCGAAAGCTGTTTAAGCAGGTCTTAGGGATTTGATAAGATAACGATGTCCGCTTCTTTCACATGTCGAGTCGAAAGAAAATACATTTCATAGTCATTGGTTAACAACAAAAAGTATACGAGGTTTAGGTTCTGAGTCGTCCGAGTTGTGCTGTTTTTATGATTTTTTGAAGCAAATATATGATATGCATTATAGGTGGGAGACAGATGCGTTCTCGCATTAGCCGTTCAATTGGGCGCTGGTCTTGGACCAGATGTCTACCTTGGTGCTCCACTCTTCAAACAATACTGCATCAGTGTAAATTTTGCGGAAGGGTGGTTAGGGTTTGCTGAAGTGATAGAAGCTCCTACAAATTCTAGTCTCAAGTAAGCAATATTCTGTAATTCTATACCGGCTGTGCTCATCGCCGGCTTGATATGGATCGTTATCACGAAAGCAAGATACACAAATCCACATGTACTACAGACCGTGAAGCCGCTCATTAGATGCTAAACCTTGCCAAAATCGTTGGAGAATTTGTATCACCATCACATTTTGGTTTGCCTGCCTATGGCCCTGGGCATACCTTGAGCGACGACGTCGTCGTGATTGATTTCTGATCTAGTGCGTGACACGACTCTTAGCTTAGTAATGGAACAATCACGTCGATAAATTGTATTACAATAGTTTGAAAGACTTGTCGAGGTAACCTTGGCTTCAGATAAGTCATATATAACAAAATTGGATGGAAACAGGCCTTGCTGGACACCGATACGACCACAACCAATATGGATTGTTTTAGTTGTGAGACTGGGGCTCAGAAGCAAACAAAGTGATTTAGCCTTAACCTCATCACACCAAGAATCATAACATCTAAAAGGTGACGTACTTGAGCCTAAAAACATTCTCGCTAGAAAGAGCAATATGCATCAATAACATCGAAAATACGGTTCAGGAACCACGCGACGATCTTCACGTCGCTCTCCGCAAATGGACGGCGCGACGTCGCCTGCTTGGGAAATCCTATACCCATCATCTTGGGAAATCGGAGGTACCCTATATGGCCCTCCCCAACAAAGGCAGGGATCGGGGTTGGGGAACGAAAGCCGCCAGGTCCAGCCGCCTCCGCGGACTGCTGGTCCTGGAACGACATGCAACAACGCTGCGAAAGGACCAGCTGACCGCAAAAGGCGGCTGGACCTGGCGGCTTTCGTTCCCCCACCCCAGGGACCGTAATCAGGCTGTTCATGCTGGGATCCGAGCGCGCTTTTCTCACTGTCCTTTAAACTTTCATTTCCCGCCTTTGTGATTCAGGTGGGGTCAAGATTCTTTACGTCTTGATATCACACAACTGCATTTTTCTAGTCCTGAAATATACAGCTGAATTTCCACTAGTCTGAAATCTGCTTTTGTGATTTCAAGATACCTTATAATGTGACAAGTCGGTTCACGTAATCGTGACTGTTTTTTGGAAGAAATGGTTTTCAAAGGAGAACATAGAACGAAATCAATCGCTGTTCAAAGTTTAACTTGAGTATGCGCCTTGTGTGGCATCGTTACGACCACTTTTTTCATTCCCGCTATGCTTGTGGAGGGGATTTTGGCCAAACGCAGCACTTCAAGGTAATCTCCCTTATGTTAGAATTGAGCGCATACTACGAAGAATGAACCAGATGAACCAGTCATAGTCTATACAGTATATGGTCACTACTAGAATTAAGATAATCATCATGACGTCCATTTTGCGTGCATTATGCGTTTTGCTACGGATTACCATTGTCCAGTACCTATTATAAGAAATGCACCTTCATTATCAAATGTTCAGTCTGTTTAGATTGCCTCCTTGTATACAATAGTATCTTCTCACAATTTATTGATCAACATCTTTTTAGTGTGATATCTCTTATCTTTCTAGACCATCTTATATATAAAGCTGAATGTCTGTTTGTCTGTATGTCTGTCTGTCTGTATGTATGTACGTATGTTCCGAATAGAAAATTCCATTTCTGAACCGATCCGGACCAAACTTGGCACACATACACATCGGGCCCCGGCGGGTGTCATAGGCCACTTTTCGTCATCGATCGATATCAATTTTATCGATTTTTTGCAAAATTCGAGCTACGGGGCTGGGAGTTGGCACAGGGGGGTAATCGAGCATGCTGATCACCCCCACGGGGGGCAATCCCCATGCTCACTTACCCCCCCCCCCCCCTGTGCCAACTCCCAGCCCCGTAGCTCAAACTTTGCAAAAAAATCGATAAAATTGATATCGATCGATGACGAAAAGTGGACTGTGACACCCGCCGGGGCCCGAAGTGTATGTGTGCCAAGTTTGGTCTGGATCGGTTAAGAAATGATATTTTCTATTCGGAACATACGGCGGAGCCGGGTAAGCCAGCTAGTCTCTTATAATTGAGCGAGTAAGAAATGAACTCCTAGATAGAATTGTAAGGAAAAAACGTGTGCATGACTCAAGTTCCAGACCATGAGCGCGCATGGAAGCCTGACCGGTCGCGGCTATCATAGCGGATCCTCCCGTGTTTAGGCAAATCGGGCTGCGTACTTCTTTAGTGACATCAAGAAATCTTCCTCGTGGCCAAGAAAATCGAATCTAATCTCAAAGCTCCTAGCAGGCCACATCGTTTTTCTGGGACAGGGCTGGATTTACAACCTCCCGGCTGCAAATAAATCATGTGAGCTACAGTTTGACAAGTAGTTACAGTTGTGAGTAATGAGCCAAGGGGCTGAGGATACTTCCGCGTATGAACAGTAAGGCAAACAAACCTTGAAATGGATACAGCTTTTGTTTGGGAGTCACAACAACTACAGATAAATTAGGGAAGATTCTACTTCCTCAGAAATCAATCTGACTTGTCTGCATATATCCGCCGATAGCATTTTTGCTCCATAACTACAACAAGCCAAGTGAAGCACCGATACATTGATAATTTGTGCGAAAAATTCGCGACAAGCTTCCTTACGTTAAAAAGATATTCTGACTTGACAAGGAAACAACATTTCAAGAAGCAAAATCCACAAGATATATCTATCAACTATAGTTTATGGCATCCAGAAAAAAAAGAATTAAAAGCATGCCTTAATTCAACCCCACTTGTGAAGTAAAAATGCGCGTCAGATAGGGCTTGCAAAACCACAAGCATTCAAACGACGCCTCTTCCTACATACAGCGCGAATATTTTCTTCTTAAAATTTTCAGGACGTCAGCTGATAGCAAAAATCTTCCATCTGCTAGTATAGCAAAAATTAGGAATTCGCGCGCGCCTGATTTACTGAGACGGGAGATTAAAATTTAAAGGACGTGAGAAAAGCGCGCTTGGCCAGCACGAACAGCTTGATTACGGTCCCTGCCTCTGTTGGGGAGGGCCATATAGGGCACCTCGGGAAAGCGCAACGATTTCGCCCATGTGTGCTATGCACGTCGAAAAGTGTGAGGCGATTCACGCGCCGAATAGTCATCACAAATACCTAAGGATCCACATATTTAACCGTGCGGCCTAGAACCCCTGTCGTTAGCTCGCGTCGCGACGAAATCGCATAAGCTAGGCCCAGAGCCTATTACAGAGCCCGCAAACGAGAAACTATTATGATTTGTGGATCAAACCTGATTTGACCTGGATACGATTGAAATCTGAATGAGCTAAACAGGGATTAAGATCTGGAATGAATCCAACTAGGACGTCTTCATAATTGTCTATGTATGTATTCAAACATAATCAGTGTTTGTGATGTAATGTAAAAAACAAGCACATCAGTCGCGAACCAGGAGGGGGGGGGGGTGCCAGAAATTTCGCAATTCGGGGTTGCACAATTGCGAAATTTTTGAAATTTACATGGGTTATGTAAATGTGCAAGTGACTTCTTTTTTTGTGAATTGAAATTATTTTTAAAATTTTCTAAAAATTCAGATTAGCCCCGTAAATTTTTTTGGAGGCGTGACTGTCGCTTTATGGACCCGCAAAAATTTTGAGAACCCAAAAATTTTTTCGCAATTTGAAAAAATTTTTGCCGCCTCTTCCTCCCCCTCCCCCCCCCCTCCTCGGACGGAAATCCTGCAACCGCCACTGAAGCGCATGCAATGTTTCGATTGCTCTGAGTTATGTGCTTTGCATTTTTCGCGGCAAGTGAACTGCTTGTGCAGTATTGTTGAAGCATTCCTCCACTGACAATGGGAATTTAAACTGAAGTGGCCTATTTCAAGAAAATGTATGATATCTGAATGTGGGACGCTTGATGTAGATCTGCCTGACTGCTTAACGGTTGGACAAAGTTACAGGCATTGTTTGTGCTTGGGTGACCTTGATCCCGCTAATCTGCTATAAGCGCAAAGTAACCTAGCCGCTATCAGATCTTTCACTTTCAATTTTTTCGTTGTTGGGAACGTGTACTTCAGTCAATCAGGGATTAGTAGTTCGGGCCGATTTCGAGTTGACTTCGACATTCTCTTATCCAAAGGAAACTGAAACATGTAATCTGACATCAGAAAAACGTATCTGATTTGTATCAAGAGACGTTCAGCTAATTTGATGGGCATTAGTAATCACAATCTAAAACCTTCAAGTAACTTACATCTCTCGTTGGGAAAAGCTATTTCGAGTCAAATCGCTTTACTTGGAAGGCACTCCTAGCGCTCGGTGATACCAGTCTGTTAAGGATCATATTTATGTTCCTTCTATGGGGCTCGAAGTCTTTTGTATTATAACCACGAAATTTGGGATGAGCAAGAAGGGGAAAAAGTACGCCCTATTATCGAATTTCCATGATTTACGGGGACTACGATTTTGACCAGTCACAAGCGCAACTCGAGGAGTTTGAAGTGTTCCATATTGGTCTACCATGAACTTTTGTCAATGCTTTGTAGACAGAATCAGCTTCACATGTAGCCGTAATATCGTTTTATTTGATATCTACAACTGCCGGGTCATAGTGAACTCTCATTTGTTTTGTACCTTCACACTACGACAAGCCCCAGTAAATTTGTTACGGTTTTTGTAAGGCTCAGTGTTAAACACTTCGTTCGCTAGCCAGTTCCCGTCATAACCACAGCGTTCACTTGTACTAGTAAACTCATCTATCAATAACTTCAGAGAATGCAAAGTGAGCACTCAATCCACTTCTCTTGCTACCACCATTCGCTCTACTCTTGTGACCAGAAGTAGCACTCGCTCAACCGTACTTTCTACTAGATCCACTCAAAGGTTGTTCTAAAGAATTTATTCTGACAACCTGAATCAGAATTTTTTTGCAGCCCTCACACAACAGAAGCGATGGATTCGACAACAAAAACAACAGCACCTGCTTTCTATCAAAATTCTCTTTTCAGCTTAATGCTTTCGGTCTTTTTGATTCGTTAAGAAAAATAAAAGAAAAGTTTGTTAGCTGTACTCTTACTCTGTCAGATGATTGGCACAATGACTATAATTCTAACTATGTGGATGTTTAGGTAATGGAGGGGGGGGGGGGAGAGAATTGAAGCCAGTGGCAAATTTATGGCACTCTTTTCACTTTTTTGTAGCGCTAACTATTACTGCTTACAGTATTCTCTTATGTCCATTACAAGATCATGAAAGTGATATTCATTTCGACTTTTTCCCAGCACTACAGAAGTGTCAATTGCCTGGCAGAACAAATTCTACTGCATTTCACGTCTGTAAGAGCTGATCGATTATAAAGGTTCTCCTTCTAATATTTCACTGGTAGAAAGGGTAAAGGTAAGTCTGCGCTCATATCACTCGCTTATATCACTATCATCATATGCAAACTTCTTTCCTCAGTGTTGAATTTGGAGGAAAGAAGGCTACCCAGGAAAACCTAGTGCGAAGGTACCAAAGCAGTGTTCATCTATCATCAAGACCTTATAATAACGGGCTAAGGGTTGTTTACGTGTTTTTGTGTGTGTGTGTGTCCGTCTGTTACGAAATTCGTAGAGCGTGTTCCAGCCAGCGTTTTAAGCCCAAATTTTGCATAGCGCATGCTACCTTCATGAAAGTTCAACGTGCAAAAGCACGAATAGATTCGTTGAATGGGTCCCTCAGAAATTGCGCGCCAAACGGATCCACCTGGCTTCTGTCCCGCAAAATTGGGTCCATATCACCACTTTTTGCAAAGTCCTGGATGTGTTTGGTAAGCAAATGTGCAAGCGATGGACTTTAGCCCAAAAAGTGGTCAAAAGTTTGCTACATAACGAAAACGGCGCCAGAAAGAGTTGGTTGCGTAAATGGTTAATTTGCTAAGGTTCTAGCTAAGCGTTTCAAAAGATTTTCGCACGGAGATGTAGCTCACGGTTACTATTGCCTTTAAGGGGACTACCAAGCCATGACAACTTCAAAAACCTATTCAAATTTGCGTTTGTCTTCCTACGAAAAGTTTCATCCACGCGAAATCACCGATCTCACGTGAAAAAACTTTCTGAATGAGTAGCTGTTTACATTCAATTCGTGGTAGTCGGCATAGTGCGGTAAGTTCCATTGCCGCGATTTTACGAGAATGAGTAAGGCACATAGATAGTAGAGCCAGTGCGAGCCTCTGCGAAGCAGAGGTGACGCACTGGTGACTCATAATAACGGGCTAAGGGTTGTTTACGTCTTTTTGTGTGTCTGTGTGTCTGTGTGTCTGTCCGTTACGAAATTCGTAGAACATGTTCCAACCAACCTTCTGAACCCAAATTTTGCACGGTCCATGCTAGCAGCATGAAAGTCCAATATACAAAAGCGCGAGCAAATCCGTCGAGTGGATCCCTTAAAAACTGCACGTCAAATGGGTCCACTTGGCTTCTGATCAGCAAAATTGGGCCTGTAGCACCACTTTTTGTAATATCATGGATATGCTTGACAAGTTAATGTGCAAGCAAAGGACCTTAGCTCAAGAAAGTAAACTAAATTTTATTGCTTTACAAAAATGGCGCCAGAAAGTATTGGGTGTGTAAATGTTCAATTTGTCAAGATTTTACTTGATCATATGTGAAGATTCTTGCACAGAGATGTGGCCCACGGTGATTATTACCATTAAGGCGATTATCAGGTCATAAAAGGTCCGAAAACCAGTTCAAAATTGCATTTATTCTTCTGGGAAAATTTTCATCCATGGGACTTTACCGATCTCACATGAAAAAGCTATATAAATGAGTAAATGTTTACGAATCATTCGTGATCGGCTGCATAGCACGGTGAATTTCAATGTCATTATTGGGGGAATGAGTAAGGCACAGATATAGATAGCGTGTGCTACCAAAGAAGTCTGAGGGTCCGGCGAAGCCGGACAATCAGACTGGTATCCTACTATAATAACGCGCTAAGGGTGTTTACGTTTTTGTGTGTGTGTGTGTGTCTGAATGTCTGTCTGTCACGAAATTCATAGCGCGAGTTCCAGCCAACGTCCTGAGCCCAAATCTTGCATAGCGCATGCTACCAGTATAAAAGTCTCCACCATGCGAAAGCACGAGCGGATTTGTTAAGTGGATCCCTCAGAAATTGCGCGTCAGCCGGGTCCAATCAGGGCCCGGCACGAGGTCGGCAAATGACAAACTGGAAATCGTTTTGGGGCCAAAAAGCAAAGGGGAAATCGTTTTTGCGGGGTCCGGGGCGGAGCCCCGGAAAAAAATTGGTAGTTCATGCTCGCTACTTATCTTGACATGTTATGTGCCTCAACAGGCGAACACTGGAGTTCGCGCGCGTCAAACCGCGCCGTCGCTAATTGCCGCACGCGCGACGTCGCCCAAGCGATGCTATTTGTAACTGCATGCATGACTAGTTCTCAGTGTATGTGTAACGATATGGCACCAAATTTTGTATGCGAACGGAGAGAGGCTAGTGGAAACATAGTATGAAAAGTTATGAAAAACTTATGTGAAAGGAACGAGTAATTAGCATTTTTTCCGAGAATTTCGCAAAACTGGTAAATGAAGATGTGAATTCAAACCGCTCGTTTAAACGCGCAGATGAACGATGTGGTATGAAACTTGGTAAGTAAATACACACGGGCTTGCAGGGCTTAACTGAGGAGTTTCATTGAAAAGTATGTGACTGAAGGTTGTGGCAAACTTTTTTCTGAAAATATTGCGCTACCAAAGAAATGGAAAAATGGCACGTTTGCAACGCAGAGGTAACGAAATCGCGCGGGTATCGGTGTGTATATGCGCAATAGGACTAAGTAATAAAGTATGAAATATTATGAAAAACTTATGTGAATGAAGAGCGTGCTTAACTAATTTCCAAATTAGGTCGGCATTTGCCGACCTAATTCCCACCTGAGGTCGGCAAAACTCTCAATTCACATAATTTTTTCAAAATTTTTACATAAATCTGTTGTACACCTAAAGTTTACTACATGGTGAAATTTTGGTTCCGAAACTCCTCCTCTTGTCCTTGTTAGAGCCCAAAATCGCATCAGCAGCCTAGCTTTCTAAGATAGAAAGCGCGCCCCAGTCAATCGATATCGCGGGAACGGCGTCTCTCATTCCTATGACTGTGTTTCTTTGATATTTTCTCATTCCTTAATCATTTTTTTGCTTATTTTTCTTCCTGTTTTCTATTTTGATACAGCTGAGGAATAATTTGAGGAATTTGAGCAATTTGGGCGCTTTTGAGCGCTTTTGGGCGAAGTGTGGCCGGTAATCTCGTCGCACAAGCACGAAACGTCATTTTTGGGCTCAAGGGGGTATTTGTAAAATTTATTGGGATCAAAGGGGAATTCGTTTTGGAAAACCCCGTTTGCCACCTCGTGCCGGGCCCTGGGTCCAATTGGCTTTCGGCCCGCATATCGGATCCACATCACCACTTTTTGCAAAGTCGTGGATGTGCTTAGCATCTCAATGTGCAAGCCATGGGCTTTGCTCCAAAAAAGGGATCAAAAGTCTACTACTTTACAAAAACGACGCCGAAAAGTATTGATTGCTCGATGGTCGATTTGCCAAGGTTTTACTTGAGCATTTGAGAAGATTTTTGCACAGGGATGTGGCTCAGAGTGTTATTGTCCTTATAGCAAGTACCTAGCCAGAAAAAAGTTCAAGAACCTATTCAAATTTGCATTTGTTCTTCTGCGAAAAATTTCATCCTCTCAAAATTACCGTTCTCACATGGAAAAGCTTTTGGAATGAGTAGTTGTTTACGTTTTATTCGTGATATTCGGCATCGTCCGGTGAGTTTCAATGCCATCACAAGGCATGAATGAGTAAGGCGTACAGAGTAGGACACAGCGAGCCTCTGCGAATCAGTGTATTTCATAGCGCAAGCTGCAGCCAATATTTCGAGCTGATTTTTTGGCTATAGCACGCCAGCAGCACCCAGGTTGATTATGTAAAGAAGTGAGCGAATCTGTTTCGGTTGAAAATCGCGAGTCAAACGGATCCACCAGGCATTTGCTAAGGCAAAAATGAGATCCTAATGCAAGGAGTCTGCAGTAACTGTAAGATTTTTAACTTGGACATCTTCTAAGCCCTGGAATTCATCGCAGATACATAGCAAAAAGTTAATTTCGTGCAAAAGTGGCGTCAAAAAGAGATGACTCAACTGTTCATTTTCAAAACACTCACTGCATAGCTGGAAATATTTTAGGCTGGGAATGTAGCGTGCATGTGTTGTTGTTCTAATTACCCAACATCGCATTGATAGAACGGATTCAAAATTACACTAACCGTTCACCAAAAAGTTTCGCCACGCTAATTTTACCGGTTTCACATGAAAATCTCGCAGAATGAATGGTTGTTTACATCATATTCTTCCCGATCAGAATTTTTCGGGGAGGTTCAAAGCAATTTGAGAGATGAGGCAGGGCGCTGTTTAGCTCTGAGGACAAGCATGGACGCGCAGACCCGCACGGCACCATATTCATGGGGTGCATAGAGCCACTACCTGCTGTAGACGTACCACACTTTGCCTTTCTTAAGAGGAGATATTGCTCAAAAACTATAGAGTAGAACCAGTGCGATCCTCTGCGAAGCATCATCATCCACTTTCATACTTTCACCACTTTTTGCAGAGTCGTGGATGTGCTTAGCATCTCAGTGTGCAAGCCATGGGCTTTGCTCCGAAAAAGGGATCAAAAGTCTACTACTTTACAAAAACGACGCCGAAAAGTATTGATTGCTCGATGGTCAATTTTTCAAGATTTTACCTGATTATTTGAGAAGATTTTCGCACAGAGGTGTAGCCCACTATGTTTATTGTCCTTACGGCGACTACCAATCCATAAAAATTCCGAAAGCCTATTCGAATTTGCATCTGTTCTTCTAAGAAAGATTTTATCCATGCGAAAATACCGACCTCACATGGAAAACCTTTACGAATGAGTAATTGTTTACGAATTCGTGATAGCCTAAGCCTACATAGCGCGGTGAGTTTCATTGTCATTATTATGCGGGAATGAGTAACGCATACAGA